GGAAAAAAGAGAAGAGGAAATCCCAGATCTTGCTTAAACAAAGACACACACATCCCAGGGCTTTCCTTGACATTGGCTTCCCACTTTTTTATCAGAGCAATCGCAGAGTCCATAAGAGTAGGCACATAGTCCTGCATGTGAATTTTGTTGAGATAGAGACACAAGCTTCTTCTCCTGCCTCCACTGATCTCCTTCAGCAGAAAAAACGCCTGTGGCCCCTACACTGTCAACAGCTTCTTGAGCATCTGTGCTTCGAGTGACTTTGAATGGCCTCAATGCGAGGATTTCTCTGGCACGGTCTTCCCGGCAAACCACCAGCATTCTTCTGCCCAGTAGATCACATTCAAAGCACCCCGTCTCAGTTCCATATTGGTTTGCCCATTTCTCCAGAGTTTGAATCATTGCCGGCCTTGATCCGCCATCCATCTGGTGAAAATTGCCAACCAGAGGCAACCAGCCGGGAACTGTCTTCCAAGGTTTTTTCTGCGCTGACAGTTGCTGAAAGACATAGGATGTAGCTACCAGGATGGCAAATAGCGAAACAGCCACTCCAAATACTGCCTGGCCACTGAACCAATCAATATCTTGGAACAACATGGTTGAAATGGGGCCGAAGTCCGAAGGTAACAACACCAATTCACAAAATGGGGTCTCAAGGCCTAGGATCCTCCTCAGATAGCACAAACTAAAATTACAGAGGTCGTTCCTTGCAGAGGTCGTTCCCGCAGATTGCTCAAGTAGGAAGATAGATTCTCGAAAGTGCTTGTTGGTCGGACGCTTCCGTTATGGCGACAATAAAGACTTCAGCGAGAAAGATCCATGCTTGCCTTCATCGATCCCACCATCTCACCCACGAACCATTCTCGAATTCAGATTCGATTTCGGCTCGACTCGACTGAGTGGACTCGACTCGACTCTGATTATTCGACTGAAGATAAATGGTCAATCGAATGATTCGATTCAATCGATCGAGCATTGCAAACGCTGAGGAGAGGACTGCACTTGGCATGAGCTGACTACACGACTACACAGCCGGTGGTGCGTCATGGGAGTTCACTGGCAACAACAAAAGAGCAGTACTACTGTACCTGGTACCCAGCTTCCCTCCTCGTTTCTTGAGCAAGGACCTTCCGATAACATTTTCGTCGTCGGACATGTATCTCGTGCGGGTGGAACACAGTCCCGAAAAACTCCAACATTGTGCTCAACGCAACGATGTTGGCGCCGGTGGGTGTGGCGATGCAACCTCGTCCCTTGAAACAACAAGAGACGTCGGTTTTGAGTTGTGGGGCCATTGTTGAGCCAATAGGTTCTACAAGGTGCCCTTTGACACTGTCTATAACGTGCATGTAAAGTTTAATTGTCTCTCCATCATGTAGAGCTGTTGTATTGCATTGTATCAAAGCGGTTCGGAAACTTGGGGGGTCATCGGAGGAGCTACTTGGTAGCTAGCTGGAGTTTCCCTTTTGCTTCTTGCTTGGACCCCCCGAACCCCTCGATGCAGGCTTTGCATTGCTGTTCTTTCGCTTTTGGGACCTCGCTTTCTTCTTGGTACCATCGTTGTTGCTACCGGTATTATTGTTGTTTTGTGGTTGGTTTCCCTTCTTTTGACCACCCTTATCTTGTCCCCGTTTCTTTTTCTTGTTTTTCTTTGCTTCCTGCTTCTTCTTCTTTTTGATCAACACTCGGTCCATGTCAACTTCTGCAGCCATCACTGTATTTGTGAAAGACTCTAGCGTGTGCGTATTGGCGGAAGAATTGATGAGTGTATGAACTGTAATCGCAGCGGCAAAGGCGTCTCCGGCAGCATACCGAACTTGCGCGTCGGACAAGCGTGCGGCCCAGTTGCTCATTTGGAGCCGTTTCACTTTGGGTAAAATCATCCCTGGAACGTAGTACTCTGTGAGTCCTTTGAGACCCTCTGGTCGCTTATTGTTGTTGTTGCCTTTCTTGGCAACGTTGCCATTCTGTCCCTCCTCGGAATTACTACTGCTCTTGTTGGATGATGATTGACTATTGTGGTCACTGACGCCCTCGTCGTCAGTGGGAATGGTTCTCAGATCGAACCGGCAATTCATTTCCAGCAACTTGTTTTCATATAGGTCCACTGCATCGGCTTCCAAGCCCACTCCTGCCTTGGCAATGTGACGACAATTCAATACGGACGCAAGTTTCCGATAACCTTCCAGTCGATTGTTCCGTTTGGAATTTCCAGCCTGGCTCTGTAGCAAATCATGGATGCTTTCGCAGTGATAAACGGACTTTAGATCCATCAATTTTTCCATAAAACAGAGATGAATCACCAAGCAATTCCCGTCGGCCTTGGCCAACTGCAGCACATCCGGTCCTTTCGAAGCCAGATATGCCTCTCGCGTGAATGTCGGCTTGCTCTCTGTATCCAGCCCAAGGCATTGCAAATAATTGGCTTCCACGTCTCCTCCTATAATAATATGTTGCTGTAACCAGTCGGCAATGACCTGCTGATCGTTGGTGTAGGTAATGACGAGCTGTGGAAGATCAGGACCCAAACCTGGAGCGTGAACAACGCGGGTGACATTATTGTTGTTGTGGTCTGCCACTACTAGAGTTTGATTGTTTGTCTCTGAGCTCTTTGGAGCCTTCGAACGCCGATTATTATGAGGACGGTTCCGGTGTCGAGGCTTTTTGTTTCTTGCTTGCTGCGGCTGATGTTGGGGTTGTTGGGGTGTCATGGTGCAAGGAATGTTCTTCTTGGACAGCACCAAGCCATTGTTGTGCTCGCACCAATTAGTGGTTCAAGCACAATACAAGCTTGCAAAGCTGTGACAAAAGAAGCAGAAGCACAAGGTTTTTTTTTCTTGGAGGGTTCTCTCCATGAACGCTGGCGCCTGGAAGCTGGAATTCCCTCAGTTTTTTTGGGCTTTGGCCCGACCTTTGCGCCCCTTTGGTCTTTGGTTGAGAGGAAGAATGTCTCGCAAAAAGAATCAATCCAATCCTTCCAAACTCTGGACGATCGCCATGGGGAAGAAATCCAAGAAGAAGCGTACTGCTTCTGCTGGTGGCTGCAGTCGTGCTGCTGCCGCCGGAAAGAAGCCGTCGTCTCAGGGAATGACCAACGGTACAGGCAGCGCCAATGCCAATGCCACAGTTGGCTTTGGTGGTTGCAGTGATGATTCTTTGAATTCAGATAATTTGCGCTTTTGTTTGGCATTGGCGGCTGACAAGAAGAACCCAGAAGCCAAAAGGCTTCTCCAAATTGTCAACAAAGCAAACAAGACAGATAGAGAGCTTCTTGATATAACCAAGGAATACTTTCCGTTCAAGCAGGATGACAAATGGAACAAACTTCGAGTAACTTACTTCCTCCATTTCTACGGGCACATGTACGGCAAGCTACAACAGTGGGAATATGGCAAACCTGTACCAGTAACAGATACTGACAAAAATTTCTTGAGGGGAATCATCCGGTCAGAAACAGAACCTGCATTCTTTGTTGCTCATGCCATTGCTATCAATGGATTCATCAAGTTCAAGTTGGAGCATAATGTTGACAAGTATCTCCAAGCTCTATCCAGGTTAATTGCTGTTTGGGATTCAGCCAAAGATGAGGACAACGCATGTGTGCTGCCCATTCTGTATGACGATGCAGATCTCAAAATAGCTCCCAAAACAGCAGGCGAATTCCTCATGGTGCTTCGAATCACCGCGGAAGCCAGTTGTTCTATGTTTCTCATTGCAAAGTGGGACTCCAACAAATTTGTGAAAGCTGTGTCTGCGATTCCTGGGGACCAGTGTGACTGTTGTGGCTCACAAGAAAAGTCCATTCATGAAATGGGAGTTTGTGGGCGTTGCCGTGTCACGTACTATTGCTCCAAGGAATGTCAGCAGAAGCACTGGCAGCAAGTGCATTGGAAATTGTGCCGCAAAAAGGGGGAATTTCGCCGTGGTGATGAAGTCATCACACTAGAGCCCTTTGCATCAGTTGGCTTTGGAGAACACTGTCGCATTGTGTCTCGGGCTCCAGATCGTACCAGAGGTCTCTGGAATGTGGCTGAAATGGAGGGAGAAGAGACATGCATCATATCTGCAGAGAAACTACGGGTTGATAGCTGGGTTGTTCGGGGCTTCATGGATGAGGTTGAGGTGCTGAAACGCATGGCGATGGGATATCAAAAGGCAGCAGAAAACGCGAAGGAAGATACTGGTCCACCCCCAGAATCATCCAGTCAAGTTGATCTGTATGTCATATCTCTTGAGAAGTGGGATTGAACCATCTCTATATGCTAGGGCTTAGGACAGTTCTAGCTAGTACTAAAGGAAGTAATAAAAATTTGCATGTTCAAGCGATTCCTTGCGGTTCAACTTACTCTGAAGCATGGTTGGTTACGACGAACCGAGCCAGCAGAATTGAACGAGCAAGGACAAAGAAAACCGAATGAATCGAATCGAATCGAATCGTCTGGTCAAAAGAAGGCTTCTTGAGCTGCACTTCTCCATTCTGTTGAGACAGCCCTCGTGATACAGACGGTTCCAGCACCGGATAAGTAATTGTGCTGATGAGGGATCGATTCAATGCCTTCTGGAAAATGGAGAGTGACAGTTGCCTTTAGTTTTCGAAACCCCTGACTTCGTGAGGGAACACAGCATGGTTCAGGACGTGAGTCGAGTCAAACCAGGATGTGCCCAACTAATAGTATCGCAGCTGGCTAGCAAGCGAAAAGAAGAAATCGAGCTATGATTTTCCTGTCGACGTCGTCTTCCACGCACAACAATGTAGACGTCGGGTTCAAATTTGCCAATTATGTACTTTATTAAGGATGAATGGAATGAAACAAACATGGATGCAAGGATCTGCATTACTGCTGCTGATTGTTGTTAGACTGGATTTGGCTCGTCGGCTGTGCCTCTGGTCACAGCCCCCCAAAAGAAAGAAGAGAAAACCGATCTTTCGCTCGCCTCTCTGGTGCTTTTGGTTAGTTGTTTGTGTGATGCGTGTGATGAGATCCATCATCAATGACGACGGCATCGGTGGAAATCCAATCCACCACAGGCAGTAGCCGAAAGGACAAAGATCAAAAAGGCGGCACCGAGTCCCATCATGATACGACAACGTATCTGTTTCCAGTACATGGTTCGTCGTAGACTACGACTGGACGCTTCGAATCGAAAGGCTTGCTGGTTGAGTCGATCGGTGCGTTCGACCAACAATTCCAACTTTTCTCCTCGTTCCAAGACTCGTTCAATGTTTTGCACCATGACTCCCTTGACATCGTCAATTTGACTCTTGACGGCACCCAGACTATCAATGGTTCGATCGGCTTCTTCGGAATTGAAGAAATCCATGCGTTCTTGAATGACACGGGCGAATTCATCATTATAAGCAAAGGCAATGGCATGCTGCGGGTCGTCGCGTCCGTAGGTTCCAAAGAAGCGGTCTTTCATGTCGTTCAAAAAGGCGTAGGGGATGCGGTGTTTGTTGAGTTCGTCCGACATGCAGAGAAAACAGATTCCCGCTTCTACAACGTAATGAAAGAGAAAGTCATCATAGACATATGTTTGACGACCATCTTCCGATGGAATCTTGGACAACAAGACTCGTGTGACGGTAGGAAAGTTGCCAGTGGCGCTTTGAGCCGTGTATTCGGCAAGGACTGTCTTTTCCCTCGAAACGAGGGCGTACACGATGGTCATCTTGTTGTTGTTGTTACTACCTTTGGTTCGTGTTGCTACTGTTGTTTGTGGGTTGTCGTCTGCTAGCTAGTAGTGAGTAGCTATAGTCGGTCGTGAGCAGCGGGACTTTCTTTGTCGGCTTCTTCTTGGGTTTTGGTGGCGTTGATGTGTTGATGCTGGTCTTCTGTTGCGAGGTGCCTGCTGCTGAAAGAGTGTGACTGGCGGTTACAAGACCAAGGCAAGTCCCGTTTGGTAACTCAAGTTTTTTCGTTAGCGCTAACCTTATAACCAATGACGTAGTTCGGGGCTCGGGGGACCGTCAATTAATTCTTGCCTTGCACCTTCCGTGCCGTTTTGTACCGAGCTTCCGAGCCTCACAGTTCGTTCCGATCAATCAAGTGATGAGGCCAAACAGCTGCCAAACCCAACCCCCACTCTCATTCATTGGATCCGGCAAACTGCAGCAGCTCTTGTCCTCCTATCACAGCATCGACCCAGCTACGAGAGCTACTAGCTAGTAGCCACCAAAGTCCCACACATACTTGTAGCATCTAACAACAAGTATACAGTACCATGCCCCCTGCCGTAGTGTCAGCGGCGGAACGAAGAAAGCTTGGTGAGAACGAGGATATGCATTGTCGAGGAGGGCGAGCCCAAGCGGAGAGTTTGTTGGGTCAAGCCTTGCAGCTTCCGAGTTTGGGCAGTCAAAACTACCAAAGCAATCACGGCGAAGACGAAGACAATGAAGGAGTATTTTCCTATGAAAGCCTGACGCCCACATTTGCCACACGGAAACGATCCTCCGATGGAAATCGGACTCCCATCAAAACCAATTTCAGCCATCGCCCTCATCACACTGCCAACAACAACAACAATCATCAGCACACGAATCACAATGGAAGACCGCTCAATCATCGAAACCTCCATAACAGCATGTCTTCTGCGTCCACTCGATTAGTCGATAATCGAGGCATGATCCATAACAGTAGTGGCAATGTCAGTGGTGCCAGTTCTTCCCAAGATCCACTTTGCATGAGCAATCGCAGTCTACAATCGGAGGATTTCCCGCCTGTGATCCCACAATCCGTCGACACTGTACCCACTAGCAACGTTGCCAACCACGCTACGTACCAACAGTACAAACGAGCAGCAGGAGGAGGAGTCTCACAGATTCTCAATGGCGCAACCACCAAACTCCTCAGCAATTCACCACTCACTGACAAACAACAACGCATGTCGGTATCTCCTCCCTCCAATTTGATTATGCAACATCAAACTGAAAACAATAATAACAACAATATTCAAGCTGGCAGACGCACAGTCTTTGGAAGTCGTGTCCAACGAAAATATCCAGCATATGGGAGACCCGTGTTTAACCCGCCGCCACCACCCGATCCAGCTCCTTTTTACAATATCCTCTATACGGGAGAACAACAAGTCACGTTCCAAAAAGCCGAACAGCAACCTCCCGATTGGGAAATCTTGCCGTCGTCACCCCGACCCGTACGAAATTCATTCGTCAAACAACAACAAGAGCTATCCGCACAAATTCCATTGTCCATGGTCGTAACTACGACAACTACTACCAGCACTACCACTACTGAAAGCTCCGATTCCAGTCGATATCATCATGCGCAAGGTACAACATGTAGTACAACAATACCGATACCCATCAGCAACAACCGCGAAAGTAGTGATATCACCATGTCGCCACCACCCTCTCCATCCAGGACGACACGACAATCTGCGCCCAAGACGCCCACCGATCTAGTGTCTCCACTCAAATCACCACCCGTCCTCTATCACACCAACACTGCCATGACAACCCAGCGCAAACCGTCGTCACGAAAACGAAAATCATCCCGCAAAGCAGCCGACAACGCTAGTACCAGTGCCAGATCCATTTCCATTCACGAAACGGTACATGCCCAATCCTTATTACTCGGATTGTGTTTCATGGCCATTTGGTCACCCAACAATGTCATGGCGCCCAATCTGACACAAGTCGCCAAATTCTATCACATGAACGAAAATGAACGCGACCTTTACCTGGGATCCTTTCTCGCATTGGCCACTGGTGTCTGTAGTTTTCCATTATCGGCATTTATTGGGATTCTCACGGATTTGTATCCGCGCAAAATACTATTTGTGGCAACCGCCATGGGAGGTGCCATGGCCAGTGCCGCCACGGGTCTCAGTCCGACGTATCCCTATCTATTATTGGCACGATTCTTTTCCGGTGGATTCATGAGTGCCAGTGTCAGTGTGGCATTCTCCCTCATGGGGGACCTATTTGCCACGGAAGAACGCAATGCCGCCAGTAGTGGATTAACCGCCATGATGGGGTTGGGAATTATATTGGGACAAGTCTACGCCGGGACGATTGCTAATGAAAAGGGATGGCAACATGCCTTTTATGTGAGTAGTGTCGCCACGGTCGTGCTGGGATTGTGTGTCGCTCTCTTGGTGCAAGAACCCGTGCGCGGTGGCAAAGAAAAAGTGCTGCAAGACATGCTCAAGCAAGGAAAACGATACGACCGGAAACTGACGTGGGAAGGATTTTGGAATGCCATGCGCAACAATCGATCCAATCGAATCATTATTATTCAAGGATTCTTCACCAATATCCCTTGGGGGATCATTTTTGTATTCTTGAATGATTATTTGAGTCAAGAACGAGGATTTAGTGTCACGGATGCGACATTTATTGTGCTGGTGTTTGGAATTGGATGTGCCGCGGGCGGTATTGTCGGAGGAGCCATGGGTGCTGCAGTGCAGGCATTCAGACGGTCGTTTCTTCCTCTGTTCATGGCGGGGACCACCATTCTGGGTATATTTCCCTATCTGGCTCTACTCAATGGACACACAACCAATGCGCATGGGTATTGGGCCATGACGTACTCCTTCATGGCAGGATGTATCGCCAATCTGCCATCCGTCAATGTTCGACCCTGTCTGATCAATGTGAATCCACCGGAAACGCGAGGAGCGAGTCTCACAGCCGCCAATCTAATCATCAATTTTGCTCGCGGTGTGGGTCCTTCATTTATCACTCTCTTGGGTTCCACCTTTGATTTGTCACGACAAGCGAGTTTCAACATTACACTGACGGCCTTTTGGCTTGTCAGTGCCCTCCAACTCTGCTTGCTGGCGCAATATTTGCCACAGGATCAGGACAAGATGGAGGCCGATCTCGCGCATTATGCGGCGTCTGCAATGGCAACGACCCCTGCTGCTCCAAACACTCCTGGCGACAGATCGTATGGTTCCGCATCGATGGATGACTATTCACTGGATCACCCCGAGTCCGGTAGATCGCTGGACGAAGTTTCCCTGGTTAGTATCGAAGACCGTATCACATCATTTGATGGTACAGCAGCTCGTGAGTCCATTTCGTTTTTAAAGAAGGGTGTGAAGGAGCTGAACATAAGTGGACACTTTTGTGTTTCGCCTTATCGGCAACGGCAGCGCTGGTACGATGAGGAGGAGGAAGACGACTCCGGCGACGATGAGGAGGAGAATCAAAGAGAGGAGGCACTCAAACATCTCACTTCTAGGAGTGCAGGCGACGATGCCCTGAGCCCGGTGGACTTGCTAAAACGGCGTGATTTGTGGAAACAACAGCAACTGTTGCTTTATGGCTCTGCTGCTGGTGATCAAACTGAAGGACCTCAGGAAGTGGACGGAACAAGCAGCCTAGACGAACAACTGCCTGCCAATGAAAGCACCAGACTTCTGGTATGAGTTGGGGGGCTCCCTATTACACTACACTTCCGCCATACCTTTTCTTTGCGGAAGGCAATCCGACTGTTCCTACCTTGTTTGGGGTCCGTCACGGCGTTTCTCTTCCCTCAGCTAGCTAGAGTTCGCCGAAACAATCAGTGCAAACAAATGATACAAGGAAAGTCGTTGCTCCATGCCGGCAAGCTAGATTCGAGAGTTAAGCTAGTTTACCGTGCAGAATGTCTACGGTGATCACTCTTGAGCAACCTTGGCGCAAGAGTCCATAAAATCCAATAAGAAGATCCAATCATCTTATTCTCCTTTCTTCATCTGTTCCGTCTACTTTAATTCGACTCCTTTTTCTCATCATCTTTGGCAACCTTGACTTCATCCGGATGTTCCTGATAATATTTCTTGGCAATCTCTAGTTCTTGTTGAATGCGTTCGAGGTCGGCTTCAATGTCCGCCACTTGGCGTGGTTTGCCCTCCACGGAATCGGTAATGGACTCTGTCATGTCGAGTTCGTAGGGCTTGTTTTCGTTCAACCCAACAAACTTGTCCAATAGTTTTCGGATCTGTTTCCCAAGGGCATTGCCCACCCAACTATCCTTGGTCTTTTTCTTGTCCTTTTCAGCCTCTTCCTTGTACTCACTGGGACCAAATGCCATCAACACGTTTTCCACAACCTCATCTAACGATCCTTCTTCCGCTAGATCCATCTCAAAAAAGTCACCCTTGCCTCGGTCGGCATTGATGTGGACATGGGGTGTTAGGTTGGGTCTTCCCAGGAGGGCAGCATAGACTTTGGTGTAGACATGCTTTTTGGTGGATGGCGGTTGGATAATCTGCTCGTTGAGGACAATCCAGAGACGCAGTTTGGGAATGTGCAACTCAAAATAAGCATCGTCTCCAATGTTCTTTCCTCCACAGCCCACTTCTAGATTGATCTTTTTGCCAAACGTACTGACAGTAGGAAATGCAAATTCAATTCCTTTGCCCAACAGAATGGTCAGCGTCAAGGCGCTGATATCCAAGACGGTCATGCGTTGATTCTTCATCAAGTGGGCATAACGATTTGCTTCTGGCCATGCAAACTTGGGCATTTTCTCCATATCACTCTTGAGCGTGTCAGGGTCTACCAATGCCATGCTCGTCAACTTGAGCTGAATATCCTGCAAAACCGGGGCCTTGTCGCCTTCCTTGAGCGGCTCTTCGTTCAAAAGAACCGTTTGTCCCGGATCATCAATCATAGACTGACTGACTTGTTTGCAAATGAGGGGGATCACCATGGGCACCAAAGCCTGCAACAGAGCGGCGGTTCCAGCAGCTTCGGCAGAAGAGGGATCTGTGCCTCTCAGGGCAGGATTCGTCTCGGTCATGGTTCCAAGTGAATGCTGATCAAGATATATCTGCTGGAGTTAGTTCTATTAATATCGGACGATGAAATAGTAGAAGCAGCATACCGGTAGCAGACAGAGCTTCTTGCTTGGACCTGAAAGAAAGATACGGTAGATTGCATCCAACTCGGAAGTCGGAGTTGGAGAAGGAGTTCCAAAGATCCAGTGAAAAGTGCCCTGGCAATCCGGCAATGCCGCTTGCCATGCATGGTGGATTAAGGCGCCTTGCAAGCTACACCGGTACCGTACGGGTACTGGTACCGGTACCTGGTACGCTACCGATACCGCTACGGTAAAGGAACAGGGCTAGCTACCGGTAGCGGCGCACCAGACTTTGAGGACTTGCCTGTCACTCGACTCTGTTGCATTGCTTGGTGCAAAAGGGAGTAAAAAGGTTGCAACTAAGACGATTAGAAAACAAAAAAGCGAGGATTGCAATAGGGGAATGGCCCATCGGCGACACTAAATAACTCATGTCTACAGTCGCAGTTGTATCTGGATCAAGCAAGCAAGTCATTGAAGGCTTTTCCCCATCTGTTGTACGTGGGATTTTCTTCCTTGGCCCATTCCTGCGCCTTCTCTCGAGCCATTTCCGTGGCCCATTGTTTTGTCCAGCTCGCAGCTGCTTGTGCCGTTGCTTTTGCAGCAGTGGCAACTTTTCCAGTGCTCTCAACCACCTTGGCAACTTTTTCATCTTCTGATAGCTTCTTCGCATTTTCCATTGTCCAATCCAACGCCTTGGCAACTGTTTCATCTTTCGATAGCTCCCAAGCATTTTCCATTGTCCAATCCAATGCAGCGCCTGCCTTTTCTTTTGCAGCAGCAGCAACTTTTCCAGTGCTCTCAATGACCTTGGCAACTGTTTCATCTTTTGCTAGCTCGCTAGCATTTTCCATTGTCCAATCCAACGCAGCACCTGCCTTTTCTTTTGTCCATTTTGCTGCCACTCCTGCACTGCTCACCAATGCCAAGTTTTGAGTAATGAGTCTCCCCATTTCTGTTTTTGATTTCACCTCTTCGTCTACTTTGAAACAAAATTCTTGCAGGTACTGAGCTGAGACACTCCCTCCCAGAGTGCTTCCAATAACAATAGTGCTGTAGTGGCCTGCTCCGCCCATTGCAATGGATTGCAGCGTTGCAAACAAGCTTCCCTTCGCGATCACTGGAATGGTAGACTGCCACCAAGAGGCAAAAGAACCTGCGGCAACTCCGGTGGAGGTAAATCCAAGCAGCGCGAGCAACTGAGGAACAACAAAGGGGGCTGTCAATCCGCCGATTGCGCCACCAGAGGTTAACACAACCGCGGCGCATTCGGCCGAGAGGCTCACGTCATCTTGATCAGTGTCATCGTGGTTGGTATCGGTAGCCAGGACAAGGCTTGTGTGCATACCTGCAAGTGCAAGGAGCAATAGGCAACAAACGAACGACTTCATCATAAGTTTCGGGGAAGAGGGAAATGGTTGGTTCTGCGGTCAAGTGAGATCAAAGCTGCCCCCCATCAACAACCGCAGTGCCTACCACTTACGAATCGAATCGAATCAATCAATCAAATCAATCAATGCTCGTCCTTCGCATGAAAACTTCGATCGCCTGCCCCTCCCGTTGGAAAAAGAAAGTTCCCGAAGGAATCGAATCGGTATGGCCATAGTCTAATGGGATAGAGACAGTGCATCCACCAGAGAACATGGATGCACCCAATGAATCAACGCTCAACTCGAATGAGCAAGGCTTTGTGGAAGCCAGGTGCAAGGAACTGTGCCAAGTGAATTGTGGCTACTCAGCGACCTTGAAGAGCTATTTATAAATGACCATAGACTCACTGGGCCTCTCTCCTTTGAGCTTGGATTGCTTGCTGCCAGTAGATCCCACGCTGAACTCACCACTCCCGGACTGTGGCCTGGCAGGTTGGTGATCAGTTGGCTGGGGGTCGATTGCTTCATGATCATCTTGGCTGGTAGTAGTAGATGTCGCACATGTAGTAATAGTAGCAGATCCAGTAGGTTGGTTTGTGAGTTGGCTGACAGGATTGGATGATCTTAGCTTGTCAGCTAATGAGTTGAATCCATCCATTTGATTGAGACTAGATGGTAACCAGTTCCCAGGAGCAGGTGCCATCAAATCTCTGCGCTGTGCTTTGGTGTGAAGATTGCCACACGCTCCATGGATCAGCTCCAGTGTCCACTTGTGCAGAATTGATTGAGTTTCAAGGATACCTTCCCCCTTGAATCAGTTTATGGATTGAATGCTACCACTGCCATTGCTTTGGACATCCACACAGATGAATGGCCAGAAGAAATGGAGTGGACTTGGGAGCGCCAGCATGTGACGGAGAATTCCAATGACACATCCAGCTCTGGGGAGACACTGCCTGAAAGATTCAGGTGGCGAACTTGAAAGGGAAAAAAACAGAGCTTCTGCAATCGCACGTTTTATTGATGGAACTCAGCACTGCCTATAGACTTGCAGTTTTGGTTCTCATGGCAACGGCCTGCATCATGAGCAGGGATGGATTACATTGCTGGCTGGGTAGTACCGGTAGTGCAGCAGACAAAGTTGTTTTCACTGCAAGATGGAGAGCCATTTTCCATACTCAAGGCTGATGTTTGCTTCGCCTGGAGAGGAAGGAGATGTGGACGTCAAAGTGTTCACGGAGGTTTGAGGTGATTGCTTACTTTACATAGGTTTCTTTCTAGTGGCTAGCAGTTTGCTTACTTTGCATTCTGTTTCTCTAGCTAGACTAGCTAGCAGTTACTTGTTGGTTATTGTTTCCTTGCAAGGGGATCCAAATCGAACAAAGGATCAAATTGATCTCTTGATTCAATCGATTGAAGCAATCGATTTGATCGTCTGTTTTTGAACTATCACGTTCCACCCAGCTGCACTGCCGGTGGATCCAAATCTACCGGTACTACCAGTGCTAGCTAGCTGGGTTTAGACATGCAGCTGGATAGAGCCTCTCGCAGGCTGAGGTTGTTGGAGCGGTGGTGCTCGACCTTGGGCTTCCTACAGCAGCCTGCCAGTGCGTTTCTTGCTATTAGCAAGCCAAGTAGATTGGCTGCTGGCTGGGCGGCCTCCAGCATGGATCCAGCCAAGCATCCCAAGCAAACAGCCAGCAGACTTGCAGTTTTGGTTCCCTGGCAAAGGCCTACTACATCCTGAGCGGGGTCGGATTACAGTGCTGGGTAGTAGTTGTGCAGCAGCAGACAAAGTTGTTTTCACACTCAAGGTTGATGTTTCGCCTGGAGAGGAAGGAGCTGTGGACGTCAAAGTGTTCACGGAGGTTTGATTTGATTGCTTACTTTGCATACTGTAGGTTTCTACCTAGCTATCATAGTTAGTTGTTGTTGAATATGGTTGGGGCATCAAAATCGAAGGAAAAGTAATGGATCTTTTGACTGAATGATCGATTGAATATTATTCGATTGAATCGAATCGAATCGATTTGATCATGTGTTTTGGTTAGATCCCGGTAGGCTCTAGCCAGCTAGCTACCGTAGACCCAGCTAGAGAGCCAGTGATGTTGTTGGAGCGGTGGTGCTCGACCTTGATCTTCCCACAGCAGCCTCCCCGTTTCTTGCTACATGTACTAGCTAGTAGTAGATTGGCTGCTGGCTGCGGGAGGAGGATCAGGCTGTTAAAACAGCCAAGCAGACCCATGCCGGATTCACCAGACCCACTCTTGCTGTGTGTAGGCAGGAGAAACTGCAGAAGATCTTCTTCAGCCATCATGCGGGACGAGGCAAATCACTCAGAGCTTTGGAGCCGGATAGCATTAATTTTGGCAAGAGTACATGTACCGCTTCCTTTGGGTCCGGAACCAGTGCATTGATGCAAGGTTCCTTCCAGAGTTTCTGGCTCGACTGCATGTACGCCAGCCAAAGCCCAAAGGATCGATATCTTCACAAGTTTGTTGGTACATGCAGGATGCCAGGCCAGAGCTAGAGCCAGCTGGCAAGATCGGTACTGGGTAGCTAGCTAGCGGCTCGAGTGCAATGTGCAATGATACCACCCATGTAGACTACTATCCAATCCCATTTTCAGCTTAGGGCCGCTATCTAATGCAGAGTGCAGAGCTCAATCGGTGACAGGAAGTCGGTGGGAGCTCGGCCGTGAAGCGTGAAGCCGTGAAGCGTCACGGTGGTAACATGAACGGAAGAACGAAGGGTGGGGGGCCGGGGGAAAGCGAAGCATCAATAATCAAACCAACAATACCGGTACCACTGTACAGTGTACTATATTAATAGCTATTAATTAATAAAATAGCAAGTACCACCCAGCCCGGCCCAGCCGTGCATGGGTTGAATCCTGCGGCAAACAGTACAGTCGTACTGTACTTACACATGATGTAATGTCCTGGCCAACTTTAGTGGGAATCAATTCAGCACACAGAAGAGGGCTTATCTTTTAGTCCAGGAAAACGGTGTTGGGATCGTGGCAAAGGAAGCAAGGGCTTTGATTGGGGATGGCTCCTAGAAATTCTGGAGGTGAGTTCAGACTATTGGTTCCATAAGCGACATTTTTGTTCCAAAAGTGGTCGTAAACTGTATGACTAATTAGGCGTCGCCGGCACGCTCGTAATAGCCAACCAAAAAGATGCCCTTGGAACATCATCAGTGAGAAGACTGGCAGCTAAACGGCTGGGACCTACATGGAAGCGAAGATCCCAGCGCGCCTTCACGAACCAATCGCTTGGTGAAAATCCGATTAGCACCATGGCCGATCTCAACACCGCTGTCGTCGTTCGTATCAAGAAATTCGCTTTGTTGTTAGCTGAGCTAAGACGGCCTTAGCTATCTAGATAAAGACATGATGTTTGAGTTAAAGAGTGATTCCTTAGTGGTTATGTACAAAATAGTAGTAGCTCCCTGTGCTTTTTGTTTATACTGCCATCATGCTGGGTGGCAAGACACGGAACTTCTTGTTGGGAATGAAAGGCGGCGGTGTGAACTTCTTGGGTCCTGCTGCAAACGCGCCAGTGCTGCTCTGAAGTGTGCGGAAGAGCGGCTTGCGGACGGCAGAAAAGGCCATGGCGTCACCGCGCCGTCTCTGGACTTCGACAATGATTTCCTTGGTATGACTGCGCCACAGTTGAACGACAATCTTGAGGTCGGAGTGTTGGCTAGTGCAGTCGACTCGTCCAGAGAGGATCTCTTCGTCTTCGGCGAAGCTGGCGCTTTCGTCATCGTGGAACATGCATTGCAGGTTCGCGGCTTCCAAGACACGGGCGATGCGTTGAGTGATCTGATCGAGGCTCATGGAGGCGTTGCAGGTCATGTTGGTTCGCTCCAGAGGGTACTCAGGGACTGTGGGGATGCTGTCTTCGTCAAGCTTCCAGGTAAGGCTAGAAGGAGCGGCGGCGCTGGTGCTCATGGTGGGTTTGCTGGGGAGCTCAAGACTTCGCTTTGGCGCTCCAAGAGGCCGCAGACCAAGCGGAGCAGGAATAGATGGCAGAGGTGCCATGCCTACACTAGCAGGAGCCCGTGGAACAGAGCGGAAGATAGTGGATTCTTCCTCATTGATGGTGTTGCGTTGTTGTCGGCTAGACATGGTGAACTATGTTATTGTTTCGTGCTTTGAGGTGTGTGCTTTATGTTGGTTTGTGGGGTTTTGTGCTGGGGCAAAATGTTTGCTCAAGCCGTGTTGAATTTTGTGAGGAGTGTGAACCTGCTCTTTTTTGGCTGGGTGCCAAGTGTCAACCGGTAAGGGGGAGCGCAGTGGTCGCCGAGAAGTCGCCGAGCCCCGGAAGCACATGGAAAACCACGAAATCGAACGTTGGAAGCACTGAGAACATTTTGCAAATCCAAGATTGCAGAAGAACCAGAAGCCAGGGGTATAGTCTGGCCGTCGTCCCGCATTCTTTCCAAGGAGAACCGACTAATGTGTTCCTCAAGTGTCTTCGATAGAAATGAAAAGAGATCGTGTTCTAATGTCAGGAGACATAATTTACACGCTAACAGGAGAAGTTTAAGATAATAAATGACTCTGTGGAACCATACACTCATGTCCCAATTGTTTTAGAAATTTATAAAAAAGAAAGCGCTAAGACGTCTCCACTGGGATGAAAACAATCTCAAAACAAACATAAATATTCGGAAGAACTGAGAAGATCCAATGACATTGTGTACCAATGTAAGTATCAATTTTAAAATCATTATTACCTAATCTGTAGGAAGCCTGGCACAAAAGAATAGTAGTCTGGTCATACCGTATAGGAGGTGAAGGGCAGTTTAATTAGAGATGCAAGACCACACTTGACTACTTGCCAAGCTACTCTGAGTACTCCGATCCAGTACTCGTCTAAGAATATCCAGCTTTCGGTCATTCCGAATGAACCAGTCGATTCGTCACTACTGAAGTTCTTTACTCAGGACAGTTTCGTCACTACTGAAGTTCTTTACTCAGGACAGTACAACGGCAGGTGCAACTGTTCCCCTAAATGTTCATTTGTTGCTCTTAGATTCGCTTCAATGCATACTAAATGCGCACTTCATGGGTGCTTTTTAGATGGAACTATGATGTCAGCAGTGAGAACCGAACTCTGTGGTATGATGGGTGAAGTAGAAGTGCACCTTGCAACTGTATTTACAGAGATTTAAAGAAAAGGGACCCAGTAAAGCTAGAACACTTGTCCAAGCGACCCAAATGTTCTAGTATCTAGTATCAGCCCAAGACCACGAATAACACTTCTCCGAGCTCTCGCTGACTCACGATAGAACATTTTTTAATGTTCGTAAGAGCCTTGGGGAACTAAAGACTGTATTTAACACTTACATTCACTTTATTACTCAAATCACCTTTTCATTCTGTCCAAGTTTGACTGATGAAATGCAACTACTGTAGGAAAAAGAGAAAAAGTCCCAGGAAATAAAGAGTAAGTGTATAGCTGGTGCATCAATGGAATAACAGCCTTCAGCTTACGATAGTTGCCCATAAGGTCATGGGGCACTCAGTTGCCGAACGTTCAGTGGGTAGCTGGTCAGGCTGTTGTATCCCACTTTTACATGTACCTTCTACCTCTACAGTCAAGTCGACACCTTTTGGAAGCTAGCTGCTCTTTGCAGTCACATAGACAGGCCGAAAGCAGAATGAAAAAACGTGTTTGAAGAGCATCGTGATGGTTTTACGGTCCCTCAAAGTAGTGATTTCAGTACAAAACCGCTTTGGATGATTTTGTCCCATTGCTTTGGATATGTCAGGGTTAAAATATGCCCCAGCCAAACTAACTGTTTGGCTTCTTTTCCATCTATCTTCGATCAGCAGGTCTTTAGCTGTCACGTTCATGACAGCTATTTTTCTTCGATTTGTCCTGTACGTCAGAGTGCTGTCTTGTGTCTTGAATTGTCAGACCTTTACGCCAAGGTTTCTTGTTATTTACCTGCGGCTACATGCTTTCGTTTCCGCGGTCGGCCTAATATTATACCTAAAGTAGCTACTAGTATCGCTGTACATGATGCCTGTCAGGCTCTTCGCCATTCGGTGGTCAATGGTGTTGAAGAGACTAAAGGTAGCGATAGATGTATTACGAATGATGTTATAAGATTATGAGGAAAAGCTACTTTGTTGTCTCTGTATATCTGTAGATCTGTAGATGGGTGGAGGCTAGATTCCGGTTGACGGTTGACCGTCAGACGGCCGGAATCAGCACACCCTCAGTCTCTACTCAGGTATGGGCTGGAGATATCGTGGGCGTTTGAGAATGTGGTGAGCTGTCGGGTGATGCTTGCTGAAGTAGTCAGCATCATTCTCTTTGCCCGGGCGCCAATATACTAGGAATTTTTGGCCCTGTTGTATGCGATTCTTGATCCAATAGAAGCGCTATGTCGATTGCTTTGGATCGTCGTTTGTTTGACTGTGTTTAGGGCGAGTCCAACGGGCTTTACCTCGGTTGTCTTGTTTGGATCGGGGTGGTTGTTGTGGTGGCCCATTTCGTCTAAGGGTTGTGTGCGGATTGTGCAAGTCTTCCTGGCATTGTTAGTATAGCGCTGGCCAGTTCTGCTTCGTGGCGAGGCGACGAAATGGGTAGAATTGGAGCTTGATGATTAGGATGGCTCGTTGTGTGGAGGGAGCTTGTCCGCTTGGTTTGGGATTGTTTGGGTTGTTGTAGTGAGTCAGTAGGATGAAGTTGCCTGCCATCTAGAGCGTCTTCGGTTTCAGATGGTAGATGCATCACTGTATGGAAGGAACATGCCGCTTGCATGGTATCTACTTTGGCGTCTGGGTGGGTGAACAATAGTCTAGTAGTTGTGCTGCAGCTCTCTTGGTGGCTGTGTTCCTTTGGTCTGGGCGAGGCTAGTGTGCCAAGGGTACTAGAATGGTTGAGTCCACTGCTCTTCATAATATAGGAGTGGTTCTATATTTTTGGAGGCTTTGTGTCTTTTTGTTGGATAGGATTGGTAGTGTCAGCTTTGTGTGATGCTGGGTCTTGGCTCCATATTCGGTAGGTTGCATTTGTATTGTATTTTGGGCTCTGTTTGGGTTTGGAGTTCGAAAAACCCAGGGGCTTTTGTGATGTACCCTGGATGGAGAGGTCGACGGTTCTTTGGTGTAGTCACAGTTTAGGTGAGACCAAATAGAGGTTTCCGGTCCAGTCCGTTGTTATTTTGTATTGGGCTTGGTTGGTGTCGATGAGGTGTTTGGCATGTTCTTCGCCAGTTTACTGGATTCCGAAATCATATACTACCAGTGTGAATATTATGGGCCTTGTAGTGAGTTTGAAGAGGCCGTGGGAGTGTTTGGTTTGATGCACGCCCCATTTGATCTAGGAATGCGTTGACGATCAATCGTTTGCAAGAAGGACGTCCGGCTTGGGTAGCTCAGTGACAATGCCCTTTATCATACGTAGAATGTAACCGTTAGGATTTTGAGTTATGAGGTCGTGCAGTCGGCGCATAGTGCAGCTGGAGTCATCTACACGAAGCCGAATGTATTCATATTCTGTCATTTGTGTGTTTAGATAAAAATATTTTATGTCTGCAGTACATAATTTGGCATCGGGAGTGAATATGACGCTGTTTAGTAGGCATTTTACGGTATTTAGATCGGATGTTTTTGTTTAAACTTCACCGTCGTATTGAATGCGGTTTCCCCCGACGTTCCATCGGACTCGTTTCTTGACCACTAGTTTGTGTCGGCGGTCTTCGGGTACAAGTCGAGCATATGCGGGTTTTTTATTGTGTGGAACCTGGTCCTTGGTGATGAATTAGCATGTGTTGGTTCCAATGTCGGGGTGGGCGTCGTTGCATTGGCAACATCGACCAATATTGTCACTAAACATTTGTTCACATATGTCTCCTTCAGAAATTCGTCTAAGTTCTTGGTAGATGGCTTCTCCGATCGCCTGTGTCAGATTTGACGGCGTCTGCACAGACTTTGGCGGACGTTGAACGGGGCGAGGCTGGGGATAATATCTTCATTACGGTCGGGGCTAATAAATTGCTTTTAGGGCCTATGGCTTCGGGTTTGTTGCGTTTTTTACGCTTGGATCGTGGGGCCTTAAATGGATCGTTTGTGATTTTGTGTTGGTCCGTAGATTTTCGTGTGTTTTCGATGGCTTTCCTAGTGGCAGCCGACTGTTTTCTGGCTGCGTGGGATTTTTGGTTGCGTGTTGGTAGTTTGCTGTGGTGATGTTTGGGCAATTCATCGGTCCTTCCAGTCTGGGAATCAGTCTGCTGGTTTGGTTTGATGGGGTCCCTTTGGATCCAGGGTGTCTTTTTGGGCACCCTCTGAAGTGGTGGGGTCTGTGGGACGTTGGGAAATCTGTTGTGGAGTATTTGTGGATGGTTCTAGTGGCACTGAACTTTCACGTACGGTTACGAGCTAAGGGAGGTTGGCTTGGGTTTTCAAGTATGACGTTGTGTGAGATCATCTGCGTGCTTGATGACTGAGGTCTGTTTGTTTGTGGTAGCATGGCTTGACATGCGGGAACCAGTCTAAGAGCGGTACTCCATTATCGGGTGGCTCTGGTGTCAATGCACCAGGCTTGATAGCACCGATACGAGTCCATGTCAGGTCCAACGTACCATGATTCTTTCGCATGGGGGTCCCACGATGCTCGATTTCCTGGTTTTTCTTGGCCTAGTACGAATGTTCCTGGTGGAGCCATGGGGTTGCGGTTGAAGTCGAAGAAACCGTGGACTTGGGCGTACGCAGATAGTTTTGGGTTTACTCTGGAGACTCGAAGAAGGTTGAGTGAGATGTTGGCTTGCGGGATAAGTCGGCACCATAGGTGCATTGGGAAGTTTGGATCACAGCCGCAAAATATTGCAATGAGATGGTTTTTTGCGGTTCGGATGGGTCGTTCGGCTGCGTTGCGTCTATGAATGCCGGGTGGGGCTAGTTGTAAGTCAATGTTTTCGGAGTGTAAGTTTTCTTTTAAAATATTGGAGAATTCGTTATCTAGGCGATGTATTTCTGGTTTAAATCCAGCCTGGACTAGTACGGCGTTGATTCGTTTGAAGGCTGAAATAATTTCTCCTGCTGTTCGGTTTTTCATCGTTTCCATGTGAATGTAATTGGGATCTTAGCTGTATAGGACAAATTTATATTGCATGCCTTGGCTGGAGGTAATCGGAAGTTGTCCCGATTGGTCGGTGTAAATTTGGCCGTTTGGGTCACGTGCAATCATAGGTTCAGGAAGCACGCTGGGTGCGTTGTCTCTTTGTAAGGGCTGGCGGGAATTACAATGGAAATCGTACAACTGGTTGGCGCAGGTTTAGGTTTGTGGTCTGTTCCCTTGCGTTGTTGGTCCATGTGCCCTTTAGTTTTTGCCTTTGATTGGGGTGGTTATTTGCGGAGGCTTTTTTTGTTGAGGCCTGGGAAACATGTTATATAGTGCTTGTCTACTGCAGTTTGGAGCGTTTAGAGTGCTGGGTGGCCCAGAGTAGCGTGACTGAAGGCTAACTGTTGGGCTTTGGTGGGAACAAAGTGTGCTGCGTTGGCGAAGTTGTGGGTCGTTTTGATGGTGACCGAAGCTGTTTGTTGAATTGGATCTATCGGTTGGAAACCGGGTGGGTTGTCTATAGGTATGTGCCATAGGCCAGTCTTGGGTGTTCGGTAGCCCGTTATAATGCATTGTTCGTTGTAATAAACCTTGATCGTGGTGTTGGTAAAGGTTGCTGTGCATCCACTATCGCAGAGCTTTCCTAGCGAGATGAGAGATCCTGAACCATGTTTGAGTTCTTTGAATATGTGAGCTCTACATGCTGCATTTGGTAGGTGTGGTATGGTAATGTCTCCTTCATGGGTGTATGTCATGGTGGCTCCTTTTGCTACTACGACTGTGATTTGATTGGAGCGGGTGCGTTGTTTGCGACAACTAGCATCCACATTAGAAAAGAGCGTGGCTTGCACTATCTAAGCACCGTAATTGTGTTCTTTATTGTGTTGCGGAAGAGTTGTTCTTTGTTGAACGTGGGTTAATTTTTACGATTGACTGTATTGTAGGCGTCCCGCTGAAGTCAGATTTCCAGCGCGGGGCGCAGCTGCCTCCCATATTGTTTTGTGCGGTGGCCTGGATGTTTTGGCCCTCCTTTGGGAAGTTTCACGTATCACTGTTGTGGGCAGGGTTATGGCAGTAACCGAGAGTCCAGCACCATCCCATCGCATCGAGTTCGGCTGCCGTAAGACCAACGATCGAGGTGTTAGCTCTGTCGGAGCGTCCGGCTGGCGACTCGGCTGGGGTGGTTGTGGTTGCGTTTGCTGCTTGGGTTTCTCGAAGTGACTCTTGGAGGATCCTGGTGATCGTGGCTATGTCGATCAGTTGTGGATGGTTGAGCGTAGAAGTCCCGGTGATAACTGTTTGGGTGTCCGTGATAGTTGCTTTGGCTCGTTGGTGGTAGCCTTCGGCGCTGACAGTGGTTTCGGTCTGGCGGACAATTTCGGCATCACGAAAGAATTCTTTGAAGGGGGTGAGGGTGCGGTTTTCTGGTGTAGGCTTGTTCCATTCTCGGAGGGGATGAATGAATAGGCCAGTGGCGTGTAGAGTGGCTACTACGGCGCTGACAGCGTTGCATAAGGCATCCCCGGTGCCTTCTACGACACACAGCAATGCAGGTGTCCCGATATATCAAAAGAGTTCCTCACAGATGTGCGAGTCCAAAGGGCGTGAGGATTTCACGATTGGCAAGGAGATCATTCTCTGTGATTTTACCGTATGTGGTCACCAGGTGGGTGATGATGTCAAATGGGCTGTTGTTGCCGTATCCCCACATGCGATCTTTGAGTGCCTTTGTGTAAGTGTCGTTAACGGCGTTCAAAATCTGCTGGAGGATTTGGTCCTCTGTTTTGTGGTATATTTTCCATGCATCCAGTTCATTTTTGTAGGTTTGGTCGTGGCGGTACATGAGTGCTTGGGTGGCGTTGGCAGCATGTACGGGTTTGTCTGGTTTGATCGGGACGACGAATGCAACGTTGCCTTGGGATGCTGCAGTGTAGGCTGCTTGGCCAAGAATGATGTAGGCGTGGCCTAATCTGCCATCACCGTCCTCACTGGAGATAGCTCTGGTGTTTGCAAGAACCTGAGAGATGAGGAGGGATAGCTTCCTCTGGTCAGGTTTGCCAATGATTGGTGTGAGGATGGGGTGTGGCATTGCCTCAGTTGGTGTAGTGGTAGTCATTGTAGGAGAGGGTAGAATTGGATTTGAAGTTGGGCGACACGGGTATATTTAGTTTCCTTTGTCGGACGTTTAAGGCCTGTGTGTCTAGGTGGTGTATATGTGGGTAGTGGTATTGTAGGTTGGTGTTGGTGTTTGTTGGCTAGTAGCGGTATCAGCTGGTAGCGGTATCAGTTCGAGGATTCGAGGATAGAGGTTCGTTCGAGGATAGAGGTGCGTCGTGCCGTTCGATCGATAGAGGTGCGTCGTGCCGTTCGATCGATAGAGGTGCGTTCGTGCCGTTCGATCGATAGAGGTGCGTTCGAGGATTCGTTCGAGGATAGAGGTTCGTTCGAGGATAGAGGTGCGTCGTGCCGTTCGATCGATAGAGGTGCGTCGTGCCGTTCGATCGATAGAGGTGCGTCGTGCCGTTCGATCGATAGAGGTGTGTTCGTGCCGTTCGATCGATAGAGGTGCGTTCGAGGATTCGTTCGTCGATAGAGGTGCGTCGTGCCGTTGTATAGAAGGATCTTATAACATCTGTTGAAGAGACTAAAGGTAGCGATAGATGTATTACGAATGATGTTATAAGATTATGAGGAAAAGCTACTTTGTTGTCTCTGTATATCTGTAGATCTGTAGATGGGTGGAGGCTAGATTCCGGTTGACGGTTGACCGTCAGACGGCCGGAATCAGCAAATGGGTGGGGCCTTGGGGAGCATGACAGCGGCTGACCATAATCTATTTCACCATAGTCTATTAATCTACATGTATTTCAGTTGCTACCGGTATGGTAACAGGAGTAACAAGTAACAAGCGCAACAAGCTGATCCTGCCTGTGTAGCCTATTGCGTCTCGACCTGGCCACTTTATATCTGTCAGGCTGTTTTGTTTTCTATGGAAGAGAATTCGGAAATTCGTTTGTTGATTGGCCTTGGCAGTCTTCGGCCTTGTCAAGTAAGTGGCAACCGGGAGCAACCACATGTAGCTGGTCTAGACAGCTAGACAGAGTACACGTTACGTGTACTAGCTAGTACCTGGAACCGAATTTTGTCGCCTTCTGTTGGGTAGACAACAAGACCATGATAGTGAAAGGCAAAACGGCTCTTGCGTTCATGGGCTCAGCTCCTACCACCGGTATTTTTTGGTCAAACTTGGAACTGGCTACCGATAGAGAGATAACCAACTAGACCACGCCGGGATATCGTTACATCTCTGCCAGCTTTTAATGTTGATGTTCGCTGTGCTACTGTCTACTCGCGTTGTTAATTAAGTAAGGCAAAGAGAACCACACAATTCACCCATTTATTTCCCTGTGCTCTCCGTTTAAGCCTGTACGACTCCTAGTAGAAATCATTCGTGCTATGGGCTTATATTTCAAAATGTATTTTCGCCCCCAATCACATTTGATGACGCAGAGAGAGATAAAGGGAATTTAGAAAGGTGACTTGAGGACACGACTCGATTACACTTCTTATACTGGTGACGCGACTGTCACTCCACCACCAGCTTCTCAACCATCAACATCGACGGGTTCTCTTCATAATACCCCACCTCTTCAGCATTTATTTTTATATAAACATAGTTTAACGGAACATTGTAATGGAGGTGGGGGAACAAAGTGTCTCTCGGAATGCTGAACCAAGAAAGTTCCGCGCACAGATACCTACAATCCCTTTGTCTACAATATGGCTAGCTAGCAATCCCACAAGCTATCAGCACATGTATCACAGACGGGATGCAAGGTAGACCTGATCGCATTGGCAAGATCCATCTCTTGTCAGAAGGAGTGAAGCGCTTGTTCCTTTGACCAGTGGACCCGTGGCTACATCGCGTCTCTGTTTGACTTCACGTTGCTCTCTTCCAAAGTGTATGCCTTCATACCAGTACGGCACAGCGACAACATTCACAGCATCGAAGCCAATCGCTACCACTACCAGGTACCGCTGCTGGTTCCACCACAATGAGACTTCAGTTTTCTACCACTCAGCTGTATGGTCGCGATCAGGAGCTGGCAGAGCTCCAGAGAATCTATGATCTAGTGGCGGAGGAAGGCACATCCAGACTCGTCCTCCTCGATGGCTACAGTGGCAATGGCAAGACTTCGTTGGTCTCGCACTTTGGCCGTTCCATACTACAAACGAGACACCAACAGCAACAGAATGACAGCAGCCCGCGTTCCGATTTATTGCAGTTGGAAGATTCCACTGCGTCCTTTGCCTTGCCGCAGTCAACTACTACTCGATTCATCAAGGGCAAGTTTGATGAACACAATCGCAAGCCATACGCCGCATTTGTAGGAGCCTTTCGGGATTTGATTGCCTCCTTGAAACGTCATTGTCACGAAGAATGCGACCGGATTGCGGCCATCCAAAAGGCCGTGAACGACCACAAGCAAAGTAGTGTTCTCTTTGATATTATTCCCAATCTCAAGGATCTGATGGAGGAAGAAGACGACGACGCCGCCAAGAAGACTGCATCAGAAGGCAGCCATTTTTTTCGACGGTCCTCCATAGAAAAGAACAATAACAACAACACAATAAGTGCGACGACAAAACAATCCACCGGGTCCTCACGCATGCTGCAGAGAATTCACGAGTTGCACTTTCAGTTCAAGGCATTTGTGAGAGCGGCCTGTGCGGGTGGACCAGTGATTCTGTTCTGTGATGATTTGCAATGGGCAGACCAGTCTAGCTTGGAGCTTTTGAAGGCCCTTGCCAGTGATGGATCCTCTCGCAACCTATTGATCATTGGCGCCTACCGTGGACATGAGATTGAACAGAATGAGAATCATCCTCTTTCTTGGTGTATCAACCATCTTAAGAATGAAGAATACCTGCCAGCGGAAAGACTGTACGAATTGGAGTTGTCAGATTTCCCACTGGGGGATCTCAACCTGTTTGTGGCAGACTCCCTTGAGTTGGCGCCAGAAAAGACAATGTCATTGTCACAAGTAGTCTGGAGCAAGACGCATGGAAATGTGTTTTACTCCAAGCAATTCTTGCAGGAGCTTGTGGACAAGGAACTGATAACATTCGATTTTGCCTACTTCCGCTGGAAGTGGGAAACGGAGTTGATTGCGGGAGCTACCGATCTTTCCGAGAATGTCGTCGAAATGGTGGCGGCACGGATACGACAATTACCACCTTCGGTGATTCAAATTCTCAAGATTGCTTCCTGTCTGTGGTATTCGTTCGATGTCACAGTGTTGGAATACATTGTAGTCCATTCCGAGGAGCGAATCAAAGAGAGGCGCCGCAGCTTGAAGCGATTGGCTACCGCGACGCCATTCTTGTCTGAGCAGGGGGTGCAAGTCAAGGATCAGTCCAAAGTCATGCAGGGCTTGCAAGCCGCCAAGGAACAGGGTTTGTTGGATCAGACGGGAGCAAATGGTTACAAATTCGGGCACGACCGAATCCGAGAGGCGGTATACTCCATCATTGAAGAGGGGGAAGAAAGGGATGCCCTGCACATTGTAATTGGAGAGCTTCTTTGGTACATGTTTCATGATTCCACCAAGAGTCAGCAGTGGATGCTGTTCTCGGCGGTGGATCAACTCAACAAGGTCTCTCACCGGTTCCAAAAAAGTGACGCTGGCCAAGGTTTAGAGTTGGCCAAGGTCAACCTGGAAGCGGCCGAATGTGCCATGGGCGTTTCCGCGTTTCTGCCGGCCATTGACTATCTCAAGAGTGGACTGCAATTTCTTGGAGACAACCCATGGGAAGATGTTGCCAACTACCGGTTTTGTCTCACAATGCATTCGAAACTGGCCGCATTGGAAGCGTCTGTCGGGCATACCGAAGAAAGCGAGAAACTCATCCAAGGCACGCTACAACACGCCGAGTGTTTTGAGGACAAACTGCCATTGTATGTTACCAAAGTAGAGTCCCTGGGCGTTCAAGGCAAACTGAAAGAAGCGTTGACGTTGGCGTATGAGGTATTGGAAGGGTTGGGGGAAGCCTTTCCGCAGAATACGACTGGAAAACGCTTTCAGCGGGCAGTCCAATCGGACACATCCTTGACGCAAAAACTTCTGAGTAAACACAACGATGCAACTATCCTGGCGTTGCCTCTGCTGCAAGATAGCAGGAAGCAGTACGCTCTGAAGATCATGAACTGTAAGTAACCGGTTCATTCGATGATGCTTCTCAACGCACAATTCACTACTGACTACACGCGACTTGGTTGCATTTTTGTTTGGCCAGTGCTGGTGGATTCAGCATTTCATCTGGGGGAGATGATGCAGCTCTTTCTGATCATAAATCGCATGATCCGGATTTCACTCGAATACGGTCTTGGGGATGTCTCGGGAGTAGCATTTGCCCTCTATGGTTTCAGCCTGAACTCTCCCAATGGCGATAGAATGGAAAACTATCGGTACGGGAAACTCGCGTTGTTGTTGCAAGAGCGGCTGGCAGCAAAGGAGTGGGAGTGCCGCGTCTTGGTGTTTGTGTATGTCTTGTTGAACCACTGGGTCGAGCCATTGCAGAAGAGTTTGAACCCTCTGCTTGCCGCTCACAGCGCAGGGATGCAACACGGTGACATTGATTACGCGGTTCAAGCCTCGGGGGCATTCCTTACGTTGTATTGGTACAGTGGGGTGAGTTCGTTTCAATCACATCCTCCCGAGTGACAGTCAAGTATCTAGGCATCTGCAGTGCTAACATGCTGGTTTGGTTTTCGCTACAGAATGACTTGAACTTCGGAGTTGACGAAATGCGGCGGTTCTCTGCTCAGATGAAAGATTACAAACAAGAGAAGGCGCTGGCAATCTACTTGCCCTTGTTTCAGTGTTTACTCAATATGACAGGACCAGCCTCGGACGCCGCTTTACTATGCGGCGAGGCAATCAGCCAGGCCGAGTACGAGGAAAAGAAGTTCACGAACAGTACAATCATGAGCTACCAAATGCAGCTTTCATACTACTTCAACGATATGGAGCGCGCCGAAGAACTGTCAACTTCATTACAGAAGGTCAGCAAATCATTCAATGCCCACTACTTGTTCGTTGCCCGGCAGTTCTTTTTTGGACTGATTTCTCTGCGGGTTGCAATGGATAGCAAAGGCAAGAAACGAAGAAGGAACATCGCGGTAGCAAATCGAGTTATCAAAGAAATGGAACAATGGACTCAGCGAGGAGGCATCAACTGTCTTCAAAAGCTGCTCATATTGAACGCCGAACAGAAAGCGTTGAATTTTCTCCGTCAAGGGCGGTTCTGCTCGAAGAAGGAGGCCGTCGAAAGCGTACGGGAGGCCTTCGACATTTCAATTGCAACGGCAATCAGGTCGGGGTTCCCCAATGATGCTGCCCTTGCATGTGAACGCGCAGCAGCTTTTCTGGATCGATGCAACCAGGATGCGTATTGGGTACAAAGCTATGCATCTCGCGCCGTCGAGTACTACAAACTGTGGGGCGCCAATGCAAAGGTTGACCAACTGACAGCAATCTACAGTCGCGGGTTGTCCACGGATTTGTCGTCGACGCCGGTCCATGCGCCTTTTAGGCGTTCGTCTGTCACTTATGATCACGAAAAGGTTCTTTGTGCCGAGGTTCAAGTTCGGCAAAAAGACAGCAGCGAGAAATCATCTGTGCGGATTTCTAATCAATTTTCGTCGGAAGTAGTGTTGAAAGCTGCAAGAGGCCTTCTCAAGGGGAGTGGATCACTCCGCGATGGCTCCGAGTCTGTCACATACAGAGACGAAACAACTGCCAGAAGCATGGATGAGCTCGGCTCTGGTTGGCTCGAACCATTTCAGCAATCAAAGCTGGACGAAAGAAAAAGCTAGGTAGTTCATGATCCGAAGAAGATCGCGGCAGTGTATTTAATTTGGTCTGCACTGGGTTGTGGCTCGGTCGTGAACCGTCCGAGGTCCAGACAACAAAATGTGCTGTTGTACGTTTTTTAACAGTGTTGTATCAAGCGGGGGATTTAAAATGTGCAAGTACTAGCGGTAGTGGTATAAAAGCGCAACCATGATTGTATGAGTTACAGTGCCGCGACAAGGTGGTGCTGTTTTAGAGGGATGCAGAATCATTGCCTCCCTCCAAACATGATCCGCCCTTTCCATCTTCATAATATCAAATGGAACAGAACTGGAATGTCTCATCTGCAGCCTGTAGAAAACACCATTCTATAAAATAGTGTTCAAGCCTGCGCCGACCTCTTTTTCTCCTCCCATCCTAGGGATTGATTTCGCCACTCCATTATTCATAGCTCTCGCTGGCTTCTATTAACCTCTAAATGTATAAGGACATCGGCAAGAGGGTCGCTAAGTGGGGAGTTGTCACAAATACTAGTATCATAAGATCCTTTCCGCGTGAGGGGCGTCTCTACTTATGTCTCTATCTACCGGTACTAGTACATATAAGCATATAAGCTTATAATATGTACTATTAATAGTACGGTGAACGGTGAACGGAGGTTTTGCCGAGGCCAAGCCACTGCGAGAAACCGGAGGCAACGTCGACGACAACGTCTCTTGGTTGACTGTTGCCTTTTGTGGCTTGGTAGGTAGGTACGAGTATCCACTTACTATCCAACTCAACTTGAGACGCACAAGTTCACCATGGAGCGGCTCAGTTCGACTTCCATGGGAGATTGCTCTGAGAAGCTTGAAATTGACCATGCCACCTTCTGCTTTCATCACGAAGGACCGACGGGTCTGACGTTTCACGAGTGCTATACCCTCGACTCCAAGTTGGATTCGTTTCGCAGCACGTACCAGTGTACGCATAAGGATACCGATGAAGTGCGATCGGTCAAGGTCATTAGTCGCAGCAGTATTGATAAGGCTGCGTTCCTGAAGAAGGTCAAGAGTTTGAAGGAGGTTATCAACCATCCAAACTTGGTACATATATTCGAATCATTCCAATGCGAAAGATACTTTTACCTCGTTACAGAGAGCATGGCACACGACAACCTCTACGAAGCTGTGTCAAGGCGTCACAAGGCCGGAGAACCATTTGGAAAACCGCAAGTTGCGCAAATTCTCCTGACACTAGTGGAATGCCTCAATGTTTGCCATGCCAAGGGTATCATTCACGGCGCCGTGCATCCATCCAATATTCTGCTGCCCCACGGGCAAAGTTATGACAACCTACTTCTCGTGAATTTCTTTGACCATGCCATCAAGGTGCCTCGAACTGCAAGTGATGGCACTGAGATTGTTACTCAGCAGAAACGAGCCAAGTCAAATTTTGCTGCTCCAGAGGCTGGAATTCCTAGCCAAGCCAGCGATAAATTGGATGTGTATCCTTGTGGTGTCATTGCGTATATCCTCTTGACAGGGCGAACGATTTGTCGCAGTCGACAAGAACCCATTAGTTGGGATGGATTGGACGATGACGACAAAAATGTTCGAAAGGGCATTGAGGAACTTTTGGCCTACGATCCAGCAGATCGTCCAACAGCCTACGACGCGTTCAATGCAGACTGGTTGCGAGAGGCCCGTTCGTTCGAGGCGGATCTTCATCCGGTAGTCTTGGGGGCCGTCCATAGCTTGCGCCAGTTCAACAAACAGCATAAGTTTCAGCAAGCCATTCGTGCTTACATCTCCTCGCATCTCCTTCGGGAAAAGTTTGACAGAGAGATGCTGGATACGATGTTTCGAGCGTGGGATCAAAACATTGATGGCAAGCTATCCAGAGACGAGTTTCCGGGTTCAGATCAACTCTTTGACAGTCTTGATATTGATGGTGAGAGAACGTTGTTGCTTGGAAGAAAGTCTGTTCAAGCTACTTGTTTGGTCTGATCAGGTACATTCTTTTTTCTCCTCCTTCCTCTCTTTCTCGTGCTCTAGGCAATGGTTTTCTGGACTATTCCGAGTTCTTGACTCTGCAAACCCACATTGAAATGTGCGATGACGACGAGTACAAGTTAAGGGCTGCATTCAACGCTTGGGACACAGATGGCAGTGGCTACATTAGCTACAGAAACATTCAAGATGTTTTCAGCATCAACGGAGAGTTTGCGGTCAATGCTTCGACAGCGAGGGCAATGATCAAGAATGCAGATTTGGATGGAGATGGCAGGTAGGTAAAGGACTTGTGTCACGCCCAGCGCTGTGACATTGTGCCGCTCACGTAACGCTGTTCCGTACATTCCTCAGAATCAGCTATTCAGAATTCAAAGACATGATTATGGGCTGAAAGGAATGATCGTTCAAGAAGAGGTTTGCAAAAACAATATGACATGGGTTGGTTATTTAAAAGCCACCCTTCTAAAGGATAGATAAGTTGAATAGACAAGGGTTACACTTACGAAGCACGATTTCTTTGTGTCCAAGGTTGAGCATCTTGTCACAATTCTGGAAGACATCAGCTGCTTCAAACATGGGGGCCAGCAACAAGCTTTTATCTGACTGTCATTCTGTCTTCGAAGCTTTATCCAATCGCAAACTGAAACATACAATTGGAAAAGTGAGTGGAAAGATTGGAATTGTGAGAAATCAGGAAAATTTGAATTGTGAGAAATCAGGAAAATTGGAAAAATGAGAAATCAGGAAAAATTGGAATTGTGAGAAATCGACAAAATTGGAATTGTGAGAAATCAGCAAAATTTGAATTGTGAGAAATCAGGAACAATTGGAAAAGTGAGAAATCAGCAAAATTTGAATTGTGAGAAATCAGGAACATTTGGAAAAGTGAGAAATCAGGGGAAAATGGAATTGCGAGAAATCGGCAAAATTTGAAAAGTGAGAAATCAGAAATAATTTGAAAAGTGAGAAATCGGAAAAAATTAGAATTGTGAGAAATCTAAAATCAAAAAATACAATTGTGAGAAATCGGAAAAATTGGAATTGTGAGGAATCGGAAAAATTGGAATTGTGAGGAATTGGAAATTGGAAATTGGAATTGTGAGGAATCAGAAACTAAAAATTTGAATTGTGAGAAATCGGAAATTGAAAAATGAAATTGTTTGAGGAATCGGAAATTGAAAAATGATATTGTGAGAAATCGGCAAAATTAGAATTGTGAGGATCAGAAATTGAAAAATTCAAATTGTGAAGAATCCGAGTACGTGGTGGATGCAAAAACTGAGGTGACAGGGATGCTTTGAGATCTCGAGACACTTGTCGAATTCGTCTCGTTGACTCTCCTACCTCGGAAATGACATCTGTCGACTTCGCTTCACGATACAAGTTAGTTGTAGGACCAAGGCTGATAACGAACTCATAAAACAAAAACAAGAAACTAAAGAAGTTCAAAGGAAGCATCATGTCACTCATCGAAACTCTTTCCAGGCTTTCGGCCCTGAATATCCTTAATGTTCTCGCCTACTTGGCCAATGTCCTGTTGGTGAACGGATTCTCCTCTCTGTTCCATTTACCAGACAATGCCACCATGTCTGCGAAGTATCAAACCATTGTGACTCCCGCTGGTTGGGCCTTTGCAATTTGGGGTTTGATTTTTCTCATGCAGCTGATTTGGAGTGTGGCCCAAGTGGCGTTTCCGTCGTACCGCAACAATCCTCTGGTACTCCTTGGTGTTGGGCACAATTACATTGCGGTCTGTGCCTTTCAAATTGCGTGGACTGTTTCATTTGGCTTGGAGCAGATCCTCATGTCCATGATGTGGATGGTTGGCATTCTGTACTACTTGATTCGAATTCATGTCTCGATGCAGAACGTTCTGTCGGAAAGTGACGAATCCCTTCGAGTCAGCCACAATTTCTGGCTTCTTCGATTTCCTTTTGACCTGCATCTGGGGTGGATTGTGGCGGCAACCTTGGTCAATTTTAGTGTCGTTCTTCAGGCACATGTAGAATCGGCCGCGGTCAAGTTTGCCGCTGGCATTCTGACTCTGGCCGTTGCATTCGTGGTTGCAAGTGGGGTATTGTACATGGAGAAAGACAAAAAGTTCCCAAATGTTGTCATCCCCATGGTGCTCGTGTGGGCATTGGTAAGAATGTTCTCATGGGTAGAGTCAATGGAAATATATACAATTCCCTAACTCTCTTCTCCCTTGTTTCTTTTGCCCAAGAATGCTATCGGAAAAGAATTGAGCCAACCCAAGGAGTTGATTGTCAACACCTACACCAATGGAGAGATTGAAGTTGTCCAATATGGATCCGAGGTGGCAGCCTTGTCTATTCTCCTTTTGGCCATTGGCGTTGTTGCACGCGCCATTTGGAAGAACCCCGCAACCAGTCGTGTCGAAGAATACAGCCTTTTGGATTAGACTGCCTGCAACCAAAAACGACGTTGGTGTCGACGTAACGTACCGTACGTATTGGTGATACCATGACATTGTGATATGACTGCGACAAACATCAAGTGTAGGATTTCGGTGGATGGGGATTATATTATCGAACGACAATCAGCTGTTGGGCGGCTGCAGCATGAAATCGCATCCCTCCTCCCAAGAGACCAAGAACTCGCTGTGCACGCCGAAAGCGTGCTATACTTTTAAATTTTGCTTGCCTTTTACTCGTAGCTATACATACATATGATATTCAATCCAGGTGGTTCAACTTTGGCAGTAGTAGACATGAAGAATTACGTATAGTTTACGTCAAAGTCGATGTGTGGGACTCCAGCTTCAACTTTGGCAAGGCTGAGGTAATCCTATACGACATACCGGACACCGGACCCAAGTACAGCTGACTTCGAACATCGTACGAGGTACGAAGTACCGGTACGGTAGCTACCTTCAGAAAGATGCTACCCCTCCCTGCCTTTCAAGCCCATTTTAACAATCCGTTCTACTGTGTGGTATCAATCGTCGCTGCCCATTATCTTGAACAAGTGGTGATTTCATTGATGATGCTACTCTTAGTCCAAGCTATAGCTATCAGCACCAGCAGTTTCAGGAATGATAAATTGATGGCGCGCCTGCTAGCTAGTAGAATCAAGTGCAAAATTGCAAAAGCGGAGTGCGAGTCACTCAGTCTTCCTGACTTTTCCCTCGTGCCTGTTTCCCTGTTCGACACAGGATCCTCAGATTATAGGGTGTTGCATTCCTTCCTCATTTAAAAACAGCTCCTTTACATGGACCTTCCTTTCCTTACCCATATCCATATTCATCATCATACATGTGCCCACCACTGTTATAGTCAGCAAATGTCGAAACATTTTTATGCAACTTGACGGGTCCCTCTTGGCGGTAGATCCGCGACTTGTGTGCTTCCACAGTGTCCCCAAACTGCTCAAAGCAGTGTTTGATTTCCGCTGGCACCATGTCATGCCCCGTGATGATGTGCGATTCCGCCTCATCGCATCCTTCCTCAAAAACAAACTCGGGAGAATGAATCCACGTCAAGTCACCACTGCCAAACGCAGCATGTGCCTCTTCCAACCAAATGGCAAAACTGACATCTTCACCTTGATAATAGTACAACCCTGTCGTCCGACCAATGTACTCGACCACGGGCCGACTCACCACATATCCCGAAGCACCTCGTGGCCAGGGGGGATAAAAGTCGGGTGTATACCGTGGATCTTCGGCCCATTTGCCCAACTTTTGTTTGGCCGCATCCGTGACGATATCTCCAATCACCATGGGATGATGGGGGTTGAATTTCTGCAGCACTAGTCGTTGGAGTCGGTACAGTCTCACCACGACATTGTCATCGACCTTGACGTACCACTGCAAGTTGTGGAAGAAAGTGGTTTCCTCATTCGTTGTTGCTGGTTGTTGTTGTTTATTATAGATCCATTTCAAGGCATAGTCCAGTTTATACGGCAATGCCCGGTAGGATTCTGGTAACAGCGTATCCAATAGATCATTGTGCTGTTCTTGTTCGTGAAACAACTTTTTAGAAAATAGCTCTCGCTCTCGTGGATCTTCGTCCGGGATGGGACCCCCAATGACGAATAGTATATTGTGCGGGTACTCTTTGGCCCATGACTCGCGAATGGCTTGTCGTTGTTCAAAATTGTTGCGTGCACTCATAATGAGGACGAGCAGATTATTATTGGTATGGTTGTCATGATGGGTGTGGTTTTTGGACGCGGTGAAGGTGGGGTCGGGCAAATGCTGGTCGGTTCGAACCGGTTTTTGGTAGTAATCATATGGCGCTGGTTGGAAGGGTTTTTCTTCTTCTTCTTCTCCTTCTTTCTGATTGTTTTCGTCCTTGTTGTACTTGACGTTGTAAGTAAATGGATCTTTTCCCTTGCGTGGCAATCGGCTGTTGGAAAAGGCAGTGGTGGGTATCTGTATGAGATTGTGAAAGAGTGTGGTATCGACTGGTTTGAATACCGAATTCAAGGTACTGATAATGTTATATAGCAGACCCAGAATGAGAAGAAGGTAGATTTTGCCTCTCAAAGTCATCAAGAATTCGACTGGACTGTTATCGTGATAGCGGGGTTGTTGTGTGGGGATAAGTGGTGCTGCAGGATAATGATGATATTGCTGGGGTCTCGACCCTCGGACTACTTGCATCTCACTTTCCTGATTCTATCATACGGTACTAGTACAGTAAAGCACAGTGCTACTGGTGTCTACTCTCCTTCCAACCTGTGACAACAATCTCAACCTAAAATGATTGAGATCTGCAGCTCCTCCCTCTATGGCTCCTGCTATTGGACTTGCTTTGTCGGTGGTTGTGTGGCTTCCTTTCTTTTGCTTGGATACCGCGCACATGCATTTTGAAAATATGAAGGCTTAACACCCCTTAGACAACTATATTGCCTTTTAGTACCAGTTGAAGTCTGACGTCACACATAGGTGCTCTAACACGTCATTCAGACGATCTTTGCTCTCCAAGCTGGTCGCTTCTCGCTACATGTATCCAACTCATCGTCGTCGTTGTTCCATGTCGACATGTCATGGTGTCAGAAGCGAGAGAAAGCATTCCATACCTATTGGTAGAGTCTTTATCAGCAAAAAAAAATCAACTGCTGGGAGCTTCTGAATTAGCTAGCTACAAGAATCAAACCATGACTCCCCGTTACATGAGCCTGGCGACAGCCTGGCTTTTGGCAGCGGCAATCGGTAGCAATGACTTTTTTGTCGCCGCCTTTTCCACCTCGCAGTTGTCTCGACGGGTGGCGCCTACTGCAGCGAGATCTTCCTTTGTGGGAACTGGACGTCAGAATCTTCTGGGACGTCCTTCTCTCAACAATGCCGCCAAGAACAAGAGGAAAACTACTTCATCCCACCTGTCCATGGTAATCGACACCTTATCGGATGATTGCATTGCTGCCGTCAAGGAGTCCCACGACATTGGCAATGAAATTGGAATGACAATCCTCACCGAAGAAATCTTATTGGCGGGTATTGTCCGTCATCCCGAACGAGCTCGCAAAACACTCAACAAGTACAATATCGATTCCGATGATGTCAAGACGGCCGCCATCGAAGTCCTACGCTATGCACCGGGTGACTCCCTGGGGACTCCCCCACCCCCCGAAGAACGCAAACCACTGCCCTTTTCTCCCGAATCCAAACTATTGTTGAATCGAGCATTTGCCATTGCCGAATCCATGGAATCCAAAGTCACACGCAGTGAACACGTCTTGTTGGCATTAATGGGATACAACAATGGACGCAAAATCGATGCCTCGCCCATTATCAATGTCTTGCAAAAGATCAAATCCATTAGTCGTACCGATGCCGGATTCAAAGTATTCGACTTTTGTGACGATCTCGTCAATGATCTGCCCATGACACCCGTCGAAGGTGGAACCACCGTCAAACGAGAAGCCGTCGTCATTGGAGGTGGAGATGGAAATACCAATACATTGGCTGAAGTGGGAGTCGACATGACACAATTGGCCATGGAGGGAAAGTACGATGCCGTCTTTGGACGAAATGACGAAATTCGATCCGTTTTGCGGACTTTGGGTCGACGACGCAAGAATAATCCCTGTTTGATTGGAGGTACGTACATTGTGTGATGTTTTAATGCAATGCACTAACCAAGTGGGGAGACGGTGCATTCCATCGCTATATCCAATGCTGCAACTGACCGAACCGTCTGTTTTTAAAAACTCTACCCCAATTCTCAACAACCACCAATTAGATCCTGGTGTGGGGAAAACAGCCGTCGCCGAAGCATTGGCCCAAGTCTTAGCGGCTCCATTGATAGAAATGGAAGAAGCAAAGAACATAAAGAACATGCTCCCCACGCTACCACAAATCTCACTCAACCCATTTGCTCGAAAGGAACAGGAAGAGGCAGGGCAGGAACCAGAGTCGATCGAAGAAGCCATGGGGTATGAATTGCCACCGTGTCCAGCTTGTTTGGTCGGTGCTCGCTTGATCAATGTCGAACTCAGCAGTTTGGTGGCGGGAACGTCCAATCGTGGAGATTTTGAGAAAAAGGTCAAGAAACTCATTGAAGAAGCTAGCAACAACAACGTCATCTTGTTCATTGACGAAATCCACAATCTGGTTGGCACCGGAGGTGGCGGTGATGGGGCCATGAATGCGGCCAATCTCATGAAGCCCGCTTTGGCACGAGGCGACTTGCGCGTTCTCGGTGCCACGACAACACCCGAATATCGTCGCTACATTGAAAAGGATGGTGCATTGGAACGCCGATTCCAACCGCTCGAGATTCAAGAACCCACCGAAGAAGAAACCTTGGACATTTTGGCAGCTATCTTTCCCAAGTACGAGGAGTATCATGGAGTGGAATACACCAGCAAGGCATTGATGGCAGCCACCAAACTCAGCAGTCGATACATTACGGATCGTTTCCTACCCGACAAGGCGATTGGTACGCGCAAAAAGATGCTGTTTCTGTTTGCTGTTTTCGACATTACAAAAAGGCCATCTAACAACCCAGTGCGTATCTCTCCTCTTAGACCTTTTGGATGAAGCAGGCTCCTCGGTGAAAATGGTCGAAGAGGGGGAGAACTTTTATGTCACAGAAGATTCCATCACAGAGGTCGTATCGGAACTGACGGGCATCCCCATGGGCAAACTCGATACTGGTGAAAAGTCTCGTCTGCAAACCTTGGAAGCAGAGTTGGAGAAACGGATCAAGGGACAATATCCGGCCGTCCGGTCAGTGTCCAAATCCATTCGTCGTGCTCGCAGTGGCATGCGAGACATGAAACGACCCGTTGCCAGTTTCATGTTTTGTGGGCCTACCGGTGTTGGGTAAGCAAAACGACGCTGACGACACGAGCAATAGTTCCTGTGGCCGTGACTCACTAGAACGGCTGTGTTTGACAACAGAAAAACGGAATTGTGCAAGGCGTTGGCAGAGACGTATTTTGGGCAGGAGAAGGATATGATCAGAATCGATATGAGCGAGTACATGGATCGATTCTCCACGAGTCGTTTGATTGGTGCTCCTCCTGGTTATGTTGGATATGAAGAGGGCGGTCAACTTACCGAGGCGGTGAGGAGATGTAAGTGGGGATGTGATGCGAGTTGCCCATTTGGACTTGATAGCTTCTGATATCGAATTCCATCGTACTGCAGCGCCACACAGCGTCATATTGTTTGACGAACTTGAGAAGGCACATGAGGATGTTTTGAATCTTCTCCTCCAGGTGAGTGATGTTATGATCTTTGCCCTTATCAGGCATTCGTGAACTCTGGTGATGGAGAGGCCATGATCGCGCTGACCAACGTGTGAATTTTCTCTTGACGTGGCAATGTAACGGACCTTTAGATCATGGACGAAGGAACATTGACGGACGGCAAAGGCCGCAAGGTCAACTTTAAGAACAACATCCTCGTGATGACGTCTAACATTGGAAGCAAGGAAATTATGGAAGCTGCCAAGGGAGCCGACAATGCTGCCGAGGAAATCAATCTAACATCAGACATCGTGCAAGGGGCGCTGGAAGAAGCTATGAGACCTGAGTTGCTGAATCGTATCGATGAGATCGTGGTCTTCAACCCATTGACGTACGAGAACATGAAGGCGATTGCTGCGAATCTTGTGAAAGATGCCGTGAAGCGCGCTGATGTTGAAGTTAGTGTAAGGCTTCAAGTCAGTGGAGACATTCCAGAAATTGTTACTAGGGAAGCTCTCAAGAGCTCATCTGTGTACGGAGCACGCCCGGTACGAAGGGCAGTACAGCGATACGTTGAGGACACCATGGCTGAGGCACTGGTCAGTGGTTTTGTGCAAGAGGGCGACAACGTTTCCCTTGGCCTTGAGAAAGGAGATGGAGAAGAGCACAACGTGAAAATCACCAATCTATCTTCGAACGGTGGTGGAAAATCCATTGTCGTTTCGGTAGATCAGGACGCTGGAATCAGCGCTGATCAGTCGTTGGCTGAACAAGCCGCCTTTGGAGATCTGCCGCCGCTAGATGATGAACCTCCCAAGAAAGAACCGGACGCATTTCAATAGACCACGCGCTACAACTGTCACAGTCACGGGAGGATGTTGATACAAACCAATACGCTACACTGGACTCCTGATGTTCACCAAGAGACACACCTTCTTGTGAGATAGACTTTCTTTGCTATTTTAAAACTGTCCAATACGACATATGGATTTTCACGACGAGTGCCGTCCGGCGCAAATTAAAGCGCGGGCTTGGTCGGATGGGTTACTGCAGTGGCTGCGCCACGTCGAACCGGGGCTTTTAGACCTCAGAAAGAAGATTCGAAAGCTTCTCCGCCTCGTCCTGAAGACTTCGCAGAGACAGTGTGAGATCATCAATTGTGCCTGGGTCGTCTCCAAATGTTGCTAGACGGTCGAGTGCGTCACTGACGGCATCGCTTTTCAAAGAAAAGTTGACGCCATCCATGACTTTGCCGAAGTGTTCCTCCTTCGTTTTGTCGATTGAGAGCGTGAACTTGCCGTTGCTATATTTCTCGTTGTACTTATACCTTGTCATTGGTTCAAAGCAAGGGAAGGAAGTGCAGAGAGCAAACGCGTGAGTTTTATTTAATGCTGAGAAGCAAACATCTGGAGGGTATCGTACCTGACGGTCTCAACGATAAGCCAATCATCGGTTCCTTCTTGGAAGTTGAAGGTATCGCCGTCCCATGCTTCCTGGAGTTTCTTTCTCACAGCCAGTTCAACAGCTTCGTCCTTCTCGACCTCGATCGTTGTGCGAAACTCAGTCCGAGAGGCAATCCCCAGAAAAGTCAGCAGCCCCAGCTTCCTGACCTTGCTCCGGAATTCTAGAATTTCTGGGAAGGCCGCCTTCTTGTCTTTCGAATCACTGTACACGAAGCGATTCCGCGGTATCATTCTCGAAGCGGGTAAGGCTCTGTATGATGCTCGACTGTTGTCATCAGAAAGAATTCTGCGAGCTTCGTTTAGGAGCTCCATCGCTTGTCCCGATTGCGGATGGCTTTTTGTCTGCGGGTTACAAATGGCTTGCCTTTTCCACTGAAATGCAGTCTCAATATCTCTCGTGGACGTTCGACTGCTGTCGTCGACTCCTAGCACTTCAAAAAGCGACTTCGCTTCCGCAGTCTCCTTAATCACAGCGAAGACATTATTGTCAGCTTCTCCATCCTTGCGATACTTGAGCTTGATAGTGTACCGCTTCTTCGTCTGTCGGCTTATGCAGTGAATGACAGCGACCTTCCCAGATTCCATCGGGACGTAGTCGTCAAGGACCGCTGTCAACAGCAGGTCTCGGCATGACAAATGAAAGTGTCGTACGAACTCTGGACGAATGCCCTGCTTCCCATAACTCAAGCCGCTGATGTCCTCCACGCAAAGAGAGACATCCTGCGCCTCGTCGGGAATTGAACTGAGAAAGGTCTTCCTAAAGGTTTACTCAGAGACATGGGGATGGCGAAGTGTTCAGCAGGGAAGAAAGTAGTACCATGCACTTACCCGAAGTTCACTCCGATGGATGTGCAAGCCGAAGCCTCAGCCAGGGCTTCCGCGTTGTCTCTTAATACCTCCTCCAGAAATTTCGTGTATATTTCAGAGCTATATCCTGGGATGATCCCTTCCTTGTCCATTTCTGTTACATCGACTATAGCTGAGTCTTTGGTTTTGTCGCCGTCGTTGTTGTTGCTGTCACCAACAGATTGAATCACATAGTAGTCACGATGAACATCCAACTGCTCTAAACGGACTCCTCCAAACTTCTTTTCGCCTTTGAAAGAGGCAGTATGATTGAATCTGACTTTGACGACTCCACTTTCAGTTTGCAAGCAAGTCATAGTCCTTTCTGGAAAGTATGAAGCACTGTTGACGGCAATGCACACCGCTTGGTCGATACGCCGTTGCGCAGCTGCGATGCCTTCCTCAGTGCCAACGATTTTAACTGTGGCAGTGCTGAAATCCACTTTGATGTATCGGATACCTTCATGACGCTGGAGCTCTTTGACGTTTCGACCTCCCTTTCCTACAATGAGACCGCAAGCATCTTTTGGGACCTTGATCTGCACCTCTCGCCTCGAGCTCTCTTGTCGTTGATATTGGTATCTGCGCTCTCTGGCTTCGTTCCAGCGACTCGACATATTATTGAAGTTTAGTGTTGATTTGATTGTCACGAAACAAGGTTTGTGAAGGCGGATCAATGGTTTCGCTGAGGGTCGCCACTCAGTTCGGTGCCACCCACGGTACTATGATACTAGTAAGGTAACGTGGTGTACGAGTGTACGACCACCGAAATTTTCACCTCGGGATTCCTGCACGCAAGGCCTCACGAAGGCCTCCTCGCGGGGAACGAGGAAACACTTGACCGTGGAAACAACCAAGAAAACGAACGTGTGGATAACCGCACATAATTTCTCCAGTGGAGCTCTTGGATAGCTGTACTCCTCGAGGAGTAGCAGGGTTGCTACCAGGCTCCTAGCTAGTGCTTTGTGAGCTTCCAAAAGAAAAAGGTTGTCATTATCCTTACTACATACAGTAGCTTGTCATGTGTCAGTACCAGTAGTTGCCCATCAAAACAGCATAATTTGAATGTTGCTTCCTTCATGTTTGTTGCGAGCGTTACTATTTCTTCAAATGCGCGAACAATACCATCAGATAGCGAGTGCCTCTGGTGATGTCAGTGCCTCCGTGGATAAGTTGACCGGGGTGAAGCAAAAACTCTCCAAACTTGAGACGAACCACTGTGTTAGCTTCCGGGAAATACGTCCTAAACGAGAAGAGAAGGATTCATGATTAGGCGACGATGAACGAACCCACAGGAACCACTCGTTGACTGTCTGCTTGCAGAGCCACGAAGACTTACCCCCCTCCCACGTACGTGTGGCTTCTCGACATCATGAGATTAGCCGTCACATCGCAACGATCATGGTGGAGCTCAACACCTGGGAGATGTGGGGAAAGGCACTATGTAAGCGCCATGCCTGCTAACACGATGGGGGTGACACAATTCCTTCACTCACCTGTATGGTTTTGATCATACTTCAAGACATGTGGCTGGTTCCGATCCACACGGACGGCTTCGGCATGAGAGACTTCGCAAATGCATCGGCTCAGATATTGCAAAATTGGCATGGCAATGTCCATCATTCCTGGAATATCTGTCAAAGCAAGGTCTTGCTGTGTCAGAGAATAGAGCTCGGTTCGCCATCCTCCTGTGAGCTCCTTCGCGTGAGCTTCACATCCCTCCAAGATGCGATCCAAGCGTGCCAAGTGCTCCATGGGAAGCCTCAACTTGAAGATGCGCAGTGAAGGGTGGCCAATGACTTCAGGAGCACATCGATATCCCGAGTGGATGAAGGATTCTGGGTGCGACGCCATAGGATAGGGGTGGGGTGGGGGAGGATAGCTGCAACAGTAGTTTGGGTAGTATCCACCAGAACGAGACCGCATCTCTTGTAGCTGCTGCAATTCCTGGTCTGAATATCTTCCATCCAGAGCAAACGGAGTGAACGCAAATCTACTTTCGTGGCATCTAGCCGGAAGAGATGTGACCCGTAAAAGCTTTGGCGGCGACCGTATGTTGATATCGTTGTGGCCCCGCTTGGGAACTCGTGCCGTGGGAGGGGTCTTTTGAGGGGGCGAAGCAAGCACCATTCCGCGCGCAGAGGAGCTGGGCCCTACTCGATGATGCGAGGCGTAGTAAGGCGGGTAGTATGGCGCACTGGGATACCTTTTTTGCTGAGTGGCGACTGATGCTGCTGTTGTAGCGGTAGGCTTTGCATTTGGGAAAGATCCAACGTCTATCGTCGCCGAGGTTGATGTGACAGACGAAGAAGATGATGACGACGACGAAGACAGGCTGAGCGCAATGCTCGGCAGATGTTCATCGTAGGCGCCAACATGCGTGCGAACGGCGCCATCTCTGTGTCTCTGCATTGCTTCGACCATGACCTTGTGGTTTTGTTGAGTGGTAGCTTGGCTGATACGAGCTGTTTGCACCTGTGGGATTTCCTGTCGAAAGGGTGTCTGTTGGCGGTGGTGCGCACAACGCATCATCATTGGTACTATACCAACTGGACGCCAGAGAAATTATGGATTCGACATGAGCAGAGAGATGAGAGTCTACCGGTACTATCTCTGGACAGCGAACACCGCCATCAACGCAAACCAAAATAGTCTCCAACTGGTTGGAGCTTTCTGCAGTCAACAGGTACTGACAAAAAGTTGAATCAGACGGGAAAACAAGCGAAATTCAAATTCGACGCCATGGTGTCAGGCTTTGACGAGAACGGAGTTTCACGTTGTGGCGGACTCCAAAAATCTAAGACTTGCATGTATCATAGGTTTGTGATTCTTCGTTTGCCTCTAATACCGGTACTATCCGCACCTCTGTTGTGACAATCACCACGCTGGCCTTTCCCGGCGGGAAGTGGGGCTGTTTGGAGGGAGAACATTATACGTGTGCATCGCATCTATGCATAAGCATAATTGAACCGCTTCATACCAGTACTAGTACCAGGTGGACACTCGTACCTCCGGAAGTGCAACAAGGACCATGGAACCAGTGGTAATAGAAGCTATAGACAAGTTTCATTATTCTAGTTACAACTGCTTTGTACATTGGAGCTACCGTACGGTACGTACGGTACGGTAGCTGAATCAAATTGGCCCCGTCACGCGGGACGTGGTCCACCACCCCGGGTGTGTCCAGGCGGGACGATGAGTTCCGCGCAGCCTACCAGTAGACGTCCACCGCCGCGTTTGTCAATAGGGCTACTCCTGGTACGCCGGAGTGGCAATGTGTCGCCGCGACGCCTTGCTCATTCCGCGATAGTTAGGATTCGTTGGAGGCTCATTGTATTCGTTGAAACCAGACGTATAGTCTGGGTTCATGCTGGGAGTATGCTTCAAAGAATGGTGAAGCATTTGGTCTTCATCATGGATTGGCTCTGCGTGAGCAATTGGATATTGTTCCATGTGGTTGGCTTTGTCATTCACTGCTGGTTGAATCTGCTGAATCTCTTGTACAATATCAATGGGCACGCTGAATTCAGGATTGGTGGCGCCAAATTTAGTCCTCATTTTGATACGAAGGGTATGGGAAACCTTGATACTCGTTCCCCGGAAGGATTCATGTGAGCCCTGAGGCACCAGGATGGTGCATCGTGACGATCCTTCATTGTCATTCACGGCAGCCAGCACTTGGCGATAGCTCTTCTGCTTCCTGTTGGCATCGTGTTGCTTTTTCTTCAAGCTTTCCTTGTCCAGTTTCTGGCTTCCTGTGAAGTGTTGCTCTGAGAACCTTTCTGTCCACAGACGGTTGTAGACTGTTCTGTAGTGCCCATGAGCAGACCATTGGACAACCTCCGTCAATTCCACTTTCACTTCTTTTACACTTTTCCCACTGTTGTTGATCAAAGCAACATATGCCTCAGCCTTTTGTCCTGGTGCCAGCTTCGTAACCGGCACTTTGGCACCATATGTTATTTCACCTTTTCTGACCAACCCGAAGGATCTAATTGTCGTGGATGTTGGTTGCACGATGTACGGAGATGCCTCAGCTGGCTCGGCTCTTGCCAAAATATTCACAGATTGTGTGGCTTGGTAGTTTTTCAAGAATCCTGACCCAGTGAGTTTGGCCCTCAGACAGTATGCAATTGTAGCGCTGTCCCCATATTCTTCAATCTGCATACTAGAAGGTAGATTCCGAGGCAGTTTTATTTCAAAGGGGACTTCATGTTGGCCTCGAACTGTTTTTCCATTCCAAATAACGGAAGAAAGGTTTGGGACTGGCATGTCCATTCGGAAAAATTGGTGTTTTCCGTGGGATGTCACTCTCACTGTCTGATAATTGTCGCCAACCTTCCTTGTTTCGTTATGCTGAACTGCGGTGTATTCTTTGCCTCTGAAGTAGAGCGCAATGTTAGTTGCACGCACAGGCTGGATAGAGCGGATGATTAGTCTTCCAGAAAGCTTTTCTCCAGCACGGACAACACCATTTGTTTGGTCAATTACAAAGTATAGCTTCATTCTGTTTTGTTTGTTAGATTTTGAACTTTCTCGATGAGGAGATGATTTCTTATTATTTTGTGAGCGCCATCCATGGCAAAAGAGGAATGATCACCGGCAGTACCGGTATCCGGTTCCGTCTATCAAGCAAGTGAACCGCGTCTCAGGCCGCCTTTGGTTCAATTGTGTGTTAAATCCTTTCGTTGAAGCAGGACTCGACTACTTCAATGCACTTTTAACAAGCGCTATCGTACCACAGTTGCCTTTCGTACTGGTACGAAGTTCGAAGTTCGAAGCCTGCAAACAAGGACGGCACGGCACGGCACAGATCAACAGGGGGGGCTACAACTCTGAGACACAGCTCAGCTCAGCTCAAATGGGTTTGCCTGGGCTTTGAGAGTATACTGCATCTGGATTGGTAACAGCTGGAATGAGTTCTTTGTTCTCGGCCTCGCATCGGTTACTAGTAGTAGCTTGCCCTTGTTGGTGACCCAAAAGCCATCACGCAGTTTGTTTCCCCTTCATGCACTTGAGTCCGAACGCACATTCTCGACAACTTGCGGCTCTACCGGTACACTGTCTTTGAGATGTGCAGAGCCACATGCATGCATGGTCACATCCAATTGATCCATACATCGTAGCTGGCTAGAGGGCACTACATTTTAGTAAATAGTAATCATGTCTATGTGTTACAGTAGCTGCTAGACTTAAACAGTAATCTGGTAGCAGGGGCAACTGGAAACAGGACGGACTGATAGCTCAAGGTAACCGGTGCTCATGGGCTGAGTACTAGCGTAGGCAATGGGATAGCTGTTGGAATGTCCGTTCGGAATCTCAACAACCGCACTGACAGGGGCAATGTAGCGGTATTCTTCTGGTGTTTGGTCTTGGCAGATGGGCTGAACATCGAAGGCAATGGGACATGATGCAGCAGTTCGAGACATGGTAACAGCCGCAGCAACAAAGTCATACGATGGATCATGTTGCTCCGCAGCGATGTTCAAAGGGACGGTGAATTCTGGATTAGAAAAGCCTGCCTTTGTTTTCAATGTGACTTGAAGGTTGTACGAAATCTCAGTGCTTGTGCCCCTGAATGTCTCGTGCGTATCTGCAGGTATGGGTAGTCTGCACCATGATCCAGCGTTCCCCCTTCGCCCTCTTGTCTCGTCCGTTTCGTGCAACGCTCGAAGGATATCGTTGAAGTTCTTTTTGTGGCGGTTGGTCTCTTGTAGCTTCTTCGCCATGGTCACCTTGCCAAGCTTTTGGCACCTTGTAAAGTGACGAGCAGGGAATGTTGCTTCCGAGATTGTCTGCTGGGCGGTTCGGTATTGTCCGTGTGCAGACCACTGGATAACCTTTTGCACCTGGACTTGTACTTCTTCAAGGCTTGCCCGGCTGTTATTGACAAGTGCTATTTGGACCTGGACCTCTTTCCCAGGTTCCAGGTTGGTATTCAAAACTTTGGCCCCATAGTCGATATCCCCTTTTGAAAGAAGCAATCTACTGATCTCAGCTGTCCTTGGCTGCACAACGCGCTTGGCCTCCTTGAGTTCCCCACTGTTTGCCATCACTTGAACTGGTAGCAATGCCCTGTTGGTGGCAGAAAATGTGCCGACCCCTCCCAAAACTGCTTTCAGGCAGTAGCAAACTCTGGCGTATCCCTGCCCCGTATTGATGTACATTGTGGATGGTAGATTCTGTGGCAGCTCAACGACAAAGGGAATCTCGTGGCATCCAGGTACCAATCTCCTGTTCTGAATGATGCTGGATATATTTGGAACTGGTATGTCAACATGGACTATCTGGTTCCTTTCCCTTTGGGAGTCACCAGCTGCGAAAAAGATTCGCTCGTCCAAAGGCAATTTTTCTTTGTTGTGTTCAATGGAGGTGATCTCGGTACCCTTGAAGCAGAAGGTCAGGTTGGTGGCGCGAATCGGTTGCGCGGAATAAACCGATAATACCCCCGACAGTTTGCTTCCCGCTTGGACTTTTCCGCAGGTTTGGTCAATACTCAGGAAGAGGCTCATCTATTATGGTGGAGAGAGTTGTTGTGGTTGCTTTGTTGTTGTCTTTGTTGTTGTTTTTATGGGCAGATTCGTGTGGACCTGGGCTGCGCGGCGATGAGGTTGTGGGAGTGGGAGTGAGGCTTGCATGCAGAGAACAGTCGGAAAGATCTCTTGGCGTCTGACCAGTCGGAACAGCTTTTGGATGCAGGTAGATACGGTAAATAAATTTTTGTCAATCATTTATTCAAAGTAATAATTGTCTCAAAATTGTCTCAACTACCTGTTGAAAGATTCCAGTCAAGATCGAAATTCCTACTCTTTCCCGCTGCACCGGTGAAGCGCTTGAGGTGAGCACAACATATGTTATCAGAGCCTCTGATCAGTTTGACGAAGAGGATGTTCTCGTTACCAGGTACCGAGTTCGCCTGAACAGACTACTAGCTAGCTAGTCACCCATGAAGAGCAGCGAATGGGTGGACGAATCTACAAATTCTATGATACCCTGCACCTCATGTTGTGAAACTTACCCAGCCTCTTCTGAGCTGACCAGGCGCCTTGAAAAGAGTGAGGATGGGTCGAGAAATAATAGTCTATCGTGATCGTTTCTCCTGGTACTGGTACCATCAGATCAAAGGCAAAACCGGGGTGTAGCGTACTGGACGGGTATTTGTGTGATTCTTAGGCTTGTCAGTGGCTTTGAACTTTGACTGGTGTTTATACACCCCTCCCGGCTTATAATGCGAAAGATACTCCGTTCTTCCAAGAATGTTCTGGAAGCAAGGCCAGGTGCCAAAATTCTTTCCGCCACCAAGTTCTATCGTGTCATGGGAAGATCGGGTGGGAACCTTCTGTGACAAGGGGCCATCATCGTCGACGACAATGCTACCCTTTCCGAATTCTGCTGGCTTTGAGAAGGCATTGGCATTTATTTTTACTATTCGAATACTTGGAGCCATCTGCAAGACACCAATTCCATCAACCATCCATCAAATCATTTTATTTCGTTTGGAAGCTTCAAAAGATCGCAACAATTGAGTGTTGATTGAATTCCCAATAAATAGGATTCTCGTTTCATTTTTTGTACCGTATTTTAGAATTGACCAAGATGATGATTGTCAAGCAGAAAATGGCCACTCTGGTGGTGACTGGTCTCATGGCGGTGAATGTGGCCACGGCGTGGCTCTCCAGGAGCAGTCCAACTGTCATTGGTGGTTCTTTGCGTCCAAAGACGACAGCCTTGTTCTACAGAGATTTGCCGGAAGAGGCAGAAGAACCCATTCTACCCGTATCGATTCGCCGTCGTGCTTCGTTGGAAGGCGTCTCCCTGGCACCGACTGGATTCTGGGTCATGCTCCGCATTGCCCAAGATGGCTATCTACCATGGCAAGTGACCGATGACCCTCAAGATGCCTACGCGGCCACTTCGGCCGAAGCCTTGACCATGATTCAATTGCTCAGTGGGGTCGACATGGCCGGTGCCATTTTGCCACCCGATGTCTTGGCCAAATTGGTCATTCATCATTGCGAATCCCTCGTCGCGCAGCAGCAAAGTCCCATGTTTTTTGCCAAGCAAGTGGCCATCGCCAAGGATATTTTGGACTATGTCCAAGAGACACTGCCCAATTCCACCGTGGCATTTTCGCAAGTCCATCAATGGACACAGTCGCGTGTACAGCTCCCCGAGGCCACATTGGATGAAGTCTTGGTCACGGACAACACCCAAGCACCCTTTGCATTGACGTGTACTCTTCGTGATTTTGGCAGTTTGACCTTTACGCCCAGTTTGCAAAGTTTGCAAGCCGTATTGTACCAATTCAGTCCCCAAACGTCCTTGGCATTTACGGCATTGGCATTGGCTCTCCGCTATCGAGCACCCATTACGGTTCAGTCAAAAGAAAAATTGCCACTCACATTGCAAGGCATTCAACAAAAATTCCCCATGTACGCGGCCAAATCGACCTTGCAACAGTCGTCCAACCGAGTCCAACAAAACATTGTTCGAGGCTTTGAGATTCACAAACTCTCTGGGGCCTTGAAAATTGCACTGGAAAAGGGAGATCATGCCGCCGCGGCTAAAATTCGAAAAGCATTGGACGAATACGATTCCATGGATGAATTGCCCACGGCGGAACTACAAGAAGATGGATTGGTGGAACAACCACAAGATCTCAATGATGATGGCCTGCAGCAAAACAACATGACCATGAGTGTGTTTCAATAATGAACGAATGAATGAACCAACAGATACATTTAGATGGTGGATCACGCCACCAAAACAAGACGGAAATGGTTCTTCCGCCGAAAAGAGAATAGATATGGAGTATAAGCTTGGGTACACAAAGTATGTTTTATGACAGCGAACTAATTGGCGAGGTCGAGAGAGACAAACAAGAAAAAGCGGTCCATAGCAAGCCATGAACAGATTAGTATCTAGCTGTCTAGCTCTTTTTGATTAATTAAGAAAGAAAGCTTCGGGATGTTTGTGGCTCTTTACATGTTGTAAGGGGTGCTGGGTTACAACGTGGCTATGTATTGTCCTACCTAGTTATTTTAATAATGGATGAACACACCCACTTCGGCCATTTCCATTCACAATCGCCCCTCCGTGGGCGTATTTCAGATCCACTGTCTTATGGTCTTGACTTCGCTCTGCTCATCGTGGATTGGCATGAGGTTCGTTCCTTGCACAGATCCTGCGACTGAGATGGCAACAACAGCACAGCACGTGGAATTATCTATTGAGGCTCTGGTGGGCCCGGATGATTGAAACAAGTCAAGTTGGCTCAAACATGGTTTCTAGCCTGCCTAACGAAGACGAAAAAGCAATCCATGCTATCCGCAGGCAATATTTGGTTAGCTAGTTTGCATAAAAACTCATGGTTAGAGGACATACGCGTCGTTCTATCATAGCTGATTTTGTGTGCAAACACATGTATTGGATATATATGCTTATTGGAGAGGAACTATAGCTTTGAATCACTCTCCCCCTTTTTTGCGGACTTGTCCATGAAGATCAAAAAGAGGTACGCGGACACGAGGCGACATGCTCTCTCGTCCTTCCTCCTCTTGGGAGTCACTCTCCGTTTCTGGTTCGGTATCTGTGAAGGACGTTTCATTGCCCGATTTCTTCATGCCCTTTCTCTTGTTGTCAAACTGCTTGTCCCAAAAAGTACGGTTGGTGCCTAGCTTTGACTCACATCTTTCAATCATCTTGGCAGTGACCTCTTCACCCTTCAGTTTCCATTCATGTAAGTTGGCAGTTGCGCTTCGCAAGTACTCGTACCCGGCCACCCCAAAACAGCCAGAGTCGCAAAGCTTGCGTGCCAACGGAACTGATCGTGGGAAAACAAAGGGAAACATTGCATGAGGACACTGTTGACTCCTTGGGATGCGAAACCACAAGAGAAACGATGGACTCACTGATGTAATTTTCGAAAAACCAAATCTCTCCCTTGTACCATCCTGGACGAGGATCATCTTCTGTGTGGCCCTGCAGATACGCCCGGTATTGTTCCTCGAATAGGCGCCCATTGTACTTCATATAAATGCCCCAGTGTTGCATGCAGTGTGCCACATCTGACGCTTGGATGATGCTAAACGGATAGGTAGTTCAACAAAAGCAACATCAGGAAAGTGATTGAGACCCAGTCCAAATAATATGCAAGCAACTTTCTCAGCCGCATTCTTGTGACTTACTATTCAAACAGAATCGTTGCCTTCTTGTTGGATAACTGTTTCAATCGAATCTGTTCCTTCTGTTGCCTTGCTGATCTTGCTCTTGTGTCAAAAACTATTTTGTGCAGATTCGTGATGTGGTCCACTATTATAAGGAAAGGAGAGGAAAAGAGAAGTTAGCATTGAGAGTGCAAATCTCATGGGGGCAGCCCTTGTTGCCAAGGCGAGTATACCCACCATATTGCATTTTCGGATAGCAGTCAATGAAAGCCATCCATCCGACGCCAAAGCCTTCGGTGCGAGCAAAGTTGAACTTGGGCGAGACCATTGGACCAAAGCCTTCAAGCAAAAACAAGAAGACAACCCTCGACCAGGTGACCCAAAGCGTCTCCAGGAACTTGAGAGACTCTTGAGACCGGTCATAGATTTCTTGATCATCCGCACTAACGCCTCTTTCCAATTTGCTGAATGCTCTGCGCTTGTATTGGAGGTGAGGATAGATCGTCAGATACAGCGCCACTGAAAAGAAAAGCTCGAACCCCCAAACAGTGGCATTGGGAGCAAAGGGGAAAAGGTATCCAATGGAGGTGGATACTCCTTGGCAAAGCGCAAAGAAGTACTTGGACTTCAAACCAAGCTCTTTGTTCGGCACATCAACACCGTCTGATACGAAGTAGATCAAAAAGGCCATGGGACCCCACTCGCACATGCGAAGTAAGTGTACCCTAGTCCCCAACACAGGATCTATCAGGACTGGAACCTTGCAGCCGAATGCCATGACTCCGTTTGTGACAAGTGCAAAAGTTTTGATGGCGACCACACCAACAACAGCACCAGTCATTGGCTCTGCATGTGGGTCAAAGACCTTGACCAGATATGGTACAGCGTTGTACATGTAGGAGACTGCGATGAAACAAAAGGCGACGATCTCAGCTTTGCGCTCCCAGCCTTCCAACACAACGATCTGGTCATCGGGGGTCAAATGGTATGCCACGTTAACAAGGACAAACCATAGAATGGCACAAACGAATGCTGCGACGCGGAAATGCCATTCGATGCGGTTCAGCTCGCCCAAGTAGAATTCGTCGATTTGGAGACGGTCCCTGGCTTGCTTTGATGTCTTTTCGTCTTCAAAGGCATCGTCCCAACGCATTTGTCGGATACCCTTCAATTCTTGGTCCGCGATATCAGTGGCTAGCACCGACGAGATCATGAACTTGTAGTACCTTTTTGTTTCTTCTGGGTCATTCGCCAAGAGCATTTCTCGAAGGTCCTTGTACTTGTCGTTAGCAAAAACATGCATGGAAAGGACCAGCGAGTGCTGCTCGGCAATGCTTTTTCCATCGTAACGGGCAGCCATTTCCTAGAGAGAGCCAACGAATGCAAGTGGGTAAGTAGTATTTAGGAGGTGACAAGTATTAATCTTTGTGAGTACTTGCGTACCTTGTTGATCTTCATGAGCTGTTTATTCGTGACACCCAAGTGCGCGACGTCGTGGATCATTGCTGCCTGGACAGCTGCGAAGTGCATGAGAGGATCGCAGGAAATTCCATAAGTTCTGTCATGGAACTCGCGCGATATCTTGGAACCTCCATTTGCATTCGTTTCCAGCTTCTGGAAACCACCTTGATCGGGGGTGATGATTTGACCAAGAAGATTGTTGGCCGACAAGACAACATCTGTGTGTTGGGGGTGAGATAAACATGTCAGAAGTGCGATTGAGCAATCGTGCGCGTTTCAAGATGTGACAAAGTTACGTACGAGAGGCATGCTCATAGCTGTATGACGAGAGAGTTCGCGAGAGGAAGGAGAGGGATTTGTCAGCCATCATAATGTGTAGCCAGCCGTGGGAAATGAAAATCTCCTTCACTTACTTGTGGAATGCCACGTCGTTGTAAAGGGAGGCACACTCCTCCACGTACTCCCGCACTTGGGCTACAACCTTTCGACCTAGGATGACCTTGCTGGGGTCTTCTTGTTCCAGACCCTCTTCATAGGAAGCAAACGGAATGGATTCTGCGACGTGGTTTACAAGGGAGCGATGGGCAACGTACTTTTTGTACTCAACCTTGCTCGTGTCTCTGGAATAATCTTGAGCAAGGTTCTTCCCATGGCGTCGGTCGATTGCTCTGCGTCGAGCCACGACCTTTCGTAACAAATCAAGTAACACTTCAGTGTTCCAGTCAATGAGACGCTCGTGATTTACCCCCTTCGATTCATAGTCTTGTACCCGGAAGCTTCCATCCATATCTGCTTGCGTAGTAGACCTGTCGCTGGGGGGATTGACCAATCTTGCCTCATCTGGAGAAACCTTGACCCAGTACGTTGTCATAGCTCCTTTGCCCTTGACAGATATGACCTCTTCACGTGCAACAGGAGGGAATGACAACTGATCAGTAAGCACCATGTCGATCTGAACGAGGATTCCCTTCCATCCATCCAAATGCATAATTTACCATCTCTTTGGACAAGCCAGCTTCCTTTGCCAGCGACTTTAAGCAATGATGCGGAGTCCTGGCTCAACTGGATCCGGCCAGGTATTCCTGTAGTCTCCATTCTGCTGGCCACATTCATTGTGTCTCCAACCAATTGGAACCGGAAAACCTTTTGTCGAATAACACCGGCAATCACTGGTCCAGAGTCTGGAGAAGTTGAGCAATTTCATAAGTGTGAGCAACGCAAGCTAGGACGAGTCCACAACTGCGTGAAAGGAAGGGCTTACGGATACCAGCTCGGATAGACAGGTCTGCGGTTCCAGGGCCGAGAGATACCTCTAGAGCCTTGACCAAACGGATAAAGGTCACCATTGCTTCATAGACAAAGCGGACCATGATCAAACAATGTTCTTGCTGGAATTCTGGAACACCGGTCACTGAAGCGCAAAAGACAATATGTGTAAGCCGCTTGCCGCCATTTCATGGGCGTGACACGCAATTCCTGAACGCACCTGCAACGTAGCAGTCACTGTACAGCAGCAGCAGCAGCAGCAGCAGCAGCAGCAGCAACAGAGGTGCAAAGTCAACAGCAGTAAGCATCTGGGACCACTCCTTTCGAAACGTCCGAATGATGACCTAATTGCACTTACCCCACTGTTTCAACTAAAAGAAATCGAACAAGATGGTATGGTTAGTGAGAAGCAGAGCCCGGCGGCGCAGGTCTTTGTCTACGTAAACGCTCTTTCCTTACTTTTGAAGACATTCAATCGATTGGCAATCTCATCAAACGCTTGATAAGCAGTCTCGAGAAGCTTGAAAACCTGTGCAGTGCAGTGAAAGGGTGAGCAATCACGGACAAAGATACGACGAAGCAGAAGGAAGTCCTCAAGGGCTGCTTACCTGTTCAGGGTCACGCTCCGAACACCCTGAGAGCAGAGGTTGGAAGTTAGTATCAAGGGGGGGGGGGGCAAATCCGTGCGCAGTGGGACAATCACGGAAGCACTTACAACTTGTGAATCCTACCACATCCATGAAGCTGATGGTAGTGTGAGGGAATGGGTTATAAATGGGATGTGTTTTCGTGATGTCAGAAATTATTTGGGATGTTTCTTGAACGGGAACATGACAGTCAGCAAGGTAAGCGTGCTTCTTGGAAAATGCCACTTCACTTTTGTCTGCGGGCGCTGCCTTGGCTGAGGGGGACCAGTTGGATGCCACGACGTCCTGTTGGTCCACGCCCACGGCCTCTTGTACCACTCTGTCCAGGACGACACGGGGGAAGAGCGATCCAACAATGGTGTAGAATCGCTTGGATTCTTGCGAGACAGTGTTATGCCGCATCGTAACATGTAGATCATAAGCCAGAAAGGACAGGAATAGAGTAAGAAGGGTCAAGATGGTGCCCGTGATGAGCATGCGAGGCCACGAGGCTGCATGGGCTTGGTACATTTCAGCCGAGGGATAGACGCGAAGCCGGAATTGACAACCGCAGTATCCGAAATCTTGTGTAGTGTTGCTGTTACCACCAGGTCGGACAAAGTCCGTGAAATTCGACACGACCACCATGTCCTTCAAATACTTGTCGAGTTGGAGTCTCTTGCCCAAGTAGACCAAGCGGCCTCCCTCGACACGAAAACTGAACGCTTGTCCGAGCGTGTTCTCAAAAGCCAGGATCATGCCTTCGTAGGCTTCAGACTGGAATGTGGCTGGATGGAAAAAGTCAGCCCACACAATGTCGGCAGCGACTGCCCCGAGGACATGATCTTCTGGTGCGGGCGTGGCAATAGGAAACAAGACGGTACTCTTGAGATCGAGGCCGGTCTCTCCGGGACGCACCCACGTCTCTGTCGTAACGGGAACTCCACTTTTTTGAAGGACTCGAATGGCATGTTCTCGGATCTTCCGATGGCCTTGGGGACAGGTGTGTTCCAGCGGTGGGGCCTCCTCCTCGTCGTCAGTAGCAAGGGGGTGCAAGGTCAACCGATCAATGCGGGCAGACAGCTGCATGGCGGCGATGCGATCTTGAAAGGTCTGGTGGTCTTCTTCCTCGAGAGCTTGTAGGACGCGGATCAGTTTCTTGGGGGACTTGGCAACGGCACGAGGCTGGGCCAAAAGCAGAGACAAGGCAGTCGCCGCTGCATTCTGAAGGGCGTGCGACTTGAGATGTTTCTCGTAGAAGAAGGCGTCTTGGATATTGGTAGCAACGTTCTCAAAGTCGCGGGCAAAGCCTTGGTGGCTGGCATCCTGAACCATCAGGTACACTGCCGCAAGCGCCATGAGACAAGCCACCAGGGGGAATTTGAGCAGGAGCTTCTTGGGCTCGGAAGAGCTTGAGGTACCAGGCGCTGTTCCCTCAGGGTTGCCATTGCCATCACAAGGGACGTCGCCAGTAGGATCGGAATCCGTCATGGCGAGGATGTTGTAGACACTCGCCATGGTGTGGTATTTCAAAAGGGATGAAGTTTAAGAGATTGGTGGCAAACTCCTTTTGTTACTTCCAAGCAATTAATAAAACTGAGCCGACAAAAGAATGCGAAGGATGTCTCCAAACAGGAAACTCAGCTCCCTCTCTGCATTATGATGCCAAATCCGATATGAGTAACACAGCTAGCTAGCTAGCTAGCTACTAGAATACATCTCCAGGAAGGCACCAGATTTTCAGAATTCCCAATAGTCAATAGTCGTTCTAAAGCGAGTCGTTCTAAGTCGCGCACCGCGACTTTAGCGACTTTCGCGACTTTTACCGCGACTAGAACGACTTTCGCGACTTTAGAGCGACTTTAGAACGACTTTGCTTTTAAATAACTAGTGTTGTACCGCGACTTTACCGCGACTATATCGCGACTATTTTGATCCAACTGAAAGTCGCGCACGACTATACCGCGACTTTTACCGCGACTTTAGCGCGACTATCGCGACTTTTTTGGCGAAGCAGGCAAAACGGGTAAAACCTGGCGCCTTCCAGCGGGAGGAGGGGGCATGCATGAGGGAGATTGCAATCAATGACGCAAGGATTTAAAAGTCTGCTTAAAGCTTTATTACAGCAGCTTCCGGTGTCACTTCAAGATGCATTCTTCAAATCCAGTGTAATAGTAACTTGATGAGGGCCGTAGATGCATGTATGGCCTTCACCCCTCTCTTTGGATCTTTGGATACTTTAGGTATCGTATGTACGGTACGTATGTACATTGTACATGTAGCGGTACCGATACAGTAGGATGTCGCTTGTTCTTGTGTTCTTGTCGTGTTGTACAATAATTAATTAATTGTGTCTGTATTGCTGGTACTTTCGGTCTGTGGGATTGGCCGGATTCAGGCAGTGCATGGGTGTCTATGGTCTATGGACTTTTTTCGACATTCATACGCAACCAAAGGGCCATTGAAACCTGGGCACGTCGCTCACGTCACAAGCCAACGTCCAATCAATTCCGTTGCATGTTGTCTGCTCTACTGCCCCACCCCTGTTTCAGGTGGGCGAATGGCTTCCGATGCCAGTTCTCGGGGGGCAGTACGAAGGAAAAGAAGGCAAGATATATATTACTAGTATTATTGCACGATGGACATTCCTACAAGTCTTCAGTCTTTTGCAAAAGTCGTCAACACAGGGTTTGCTAACCGTTTGGTTGGGTACCGGTTACTGGTTACTCAACCAGTAACCAGTTTTGCTAGGGTACCGGTTACTGGTTACTGGTTGAGTAACCAGTTCTGCTAGGGTACCGGTTACCGGTTACTGGTTGAGTAACCAAATCAAACAACCGGTAACCAAATGGCAATTTGAGTAACCGATTCGGTAACCAAAACGGCAATTTGAGTAACCGATTCGGTAACCGGTTCGGTAACCAGTCGACGGGGTACTGGTTACTGGTTACTGGTTGAGTAACCAGTTCTGCTAGGGTAACGGTTACCGGTTACCGGTTGAGTAACCAAATCATTCAACCGGTAACCAAATGGCAAATAACCTGTAACCGAAAAAACCGGTTAGCGAACCCTGGTCAACACTCATGATGTTGTGTACATTTTGGGCTAACATACATGGTCATGTATGTGCGTATGAGCCTGCGTATGTCTGTGATCTTTCTAAAAACTCAAAAGATAGTCTAGTCTCATGAATCTGACGGACAGAAACCTGAGTGCACGGTGGGAGTTGTTAACTCCTGGTCTTGCACATAGGCCGGATGGCCTGCCTGCGCACAAAGAATGGAAAACACATGTGGTCAGGCAGGCGACCAGGAAAAAGCACGAATGAAGCTGGGGTATCACTTACCATGTGAACAATTTTCCAAAATGCGGCAAGTCAGAGATGCAACCCCCAAAATACCCTCCAAATGCACCATTGCCAGCAGTGACATGCACCGGACACAGCAACAACAAAGATCAACCCAATCGGAAGAGGAAGCGACCAGCCATCATGAAGAGGAAGAGACTGTTAGTTGCTCTAAGCTCTCTAGTTTACTTGCTATTGAGATACTACTGAAAAAGTGGGTGGGTTACCAGTTTTGCTACTGGCATCAAATTCTAGTACAGAGGTACAGGTTGATCCCTAATCGCGAATCCCCAACACACTCCTGTGGTCGTCGAGCTTGTCCTAGTCGTCGACCATGCTTACTTACTTACTGCGCTTAGCGCTCCTTCTTTGAACGGACCTTCTTGTCGACCGTGACCCTCCTTCTGAGTGCCCTGGCTCTGAGTGTTCCACAACACCCATCAACTTGTCCACGTTCTGTTTGAACAGTCGACCTTGGTTCGGCTTCGTCCAGAAGTCCGCAACCATATCATCAGTTGGACACCAGTCCACACTGATCTCCTTCTTTGCGACTCTGTCGCTCACAAAGAAGTACCTAATGTTGATGTGCTTCGTTCGTTTACTACTAGAAGCTTTGCCGTTCTTCTCTAGAAGGAATGGCACTCTTGTTGTCCTGATAAACTATAGTTTCTTTAACTACATAGCCTTGCTCCCGAAGGAACTGCCTCGTCCAAGGATCGATGGCATCAGGTCATCAACTGCCACGAGTTCACTCTCAGTTGAGCTTCTCTGTGTTCAACTTCTGTTTCGTCGAAGTCGATAATGGGTAACCGGTGCCCATGGTCAAACCGCCTCCGGTATGCCCCTCATGTTTGGATGGACTCGAAAGAACCATCAACATACCATTTCAATATGCCACTTCCGTCGGCTTTGAAAACTAATGGTAGTTTTCTAGTACATCTAATGTACTGCATGAGGTGGACTAGTTTATCCCAATCCTGCCTATCGGTTCCTTGACTCTAGTCGTAAGGAACGATATCGCCGTACCTGTGCTGGTCGGGCTCTCTTCGTAGCGAATAACACTTTAGCCACCAGGCTGTGAAAGGTGTCTGCCTTGCTCGTTGGGAGCTTCTTGCAGGATTCGTCTACTATGAATAGGTCTTTCGGGCTGCACTACTTCTAGTTTTCGTGCCCCCTTCTCTGGCGATGCCTTCTCGAAGGCTTCCAGGATTTCATCAACGTACTTGTACATTGTACGTTGCATGACCCTTCGTCGTGAAGTCTATGGTCATACCAAGATACGTGTGGACCTTTCCTCGGCTCACCGTCATCTCTCCAGTGCCGTCCTCGAATATGCTTTCGTATTCATCACGAAGCACTTGGATCAGCTGGTCGTTAACCTTCGAGTCCTTGTGGCTAAGCTTACAGTCGTCTACATGCCAGCAGACTGTTTGTTGCTTGCCGTGCACCATTCTGTTGGCTACACAGGGTCGTAAGGATTAATCTTAAATCCGTTCCGGACCATCGTCTTCCGGAACTTACGGTAGTATAGTAGGCTAGCTACCATAGTCCGTAGATGGCATTCAAGCATTGCAGTAGCAACTGCTTGTTGCCTTTCTTATCCGTTGTTACGAACGGTTTGTAGACATCTGGGGCTATTTCACACAGCATGTCTACTAGTACTCCTCTTACTCTAATGATTACCATATCTTTTTCATCCTCGACTCTTGTCTGGATGAAGGCGTTCGGGATGTCAATTACTGCCACATCCCTTTCCTCTTCAGCGTCGATTATGCAGGATAGTAGCACTGCTTCTGTCGACACTGTTGGCGAGCTTGCGTCTTCCTTGGAGATGAAGTCACGCTGTTTGTTGCCTCCTGCAACCGCTCGGCCTTTGATCTTCCCGTTCCTTTTCAACTTTAGGAACAGGTGTGACTCTAGGATACTCTTGCGTTCATATCGCTGAGTTCTTCCATTTTCTTCGGACGGAAGGTATCCCTGAGATGTAACTGTTTCATCTCGGCAAAGGCTGCATCGTGCGCTTTGTCCTTCCACTCCTTGAGTCTCAGCCTTCAATGACAACTGTGTCATGATGGCTGCTACCACATCAGGTTCTTCTTCTACCTGTGTGTAGAACATGTGTGCATCTGGGTGCAAGACACGTTCAGTTGTATGGACGTTTGGCGTCTCATACTTCTTTCCATCAAAGCTGGGAATATACGATTCCTTTGCTTGTGTCCTCACTCTACTAGACCTGCGCACTCCTGGCGTCTGCTCAGGTGCCGCTTGGGTTTCAACACCCACTCCTGGGATTCTGTTCCAGGGGCTGTTGGTCCGTAGTAGGTTCCGGTTCCTCTACCGTTTCGACGATAGGTTGTGTAACCGGTTCCGTTTCGATTTTCGGTTCAACGCCGATTTCATCATTGGTTCGTGACTATCGATTCGTCGTCGTCTTGACGTTGTCCTGGGGATCGTCGGGATCATCTTCCATTTCGTCAATTGGTTTCAGCATCCGCGTCCAGGTCCTCATCGGTTTGGATCATTGGTAGTGGGGGTGCGTCATTGCTTTCTTCCCCGTCCACTCCTGTGATCTCGACATCACCAATGGGTCTATTTTTTCGATCAGTAAAAACGAGTAGTTTAGGCTGATCTTTTCCTAATAGATTGACTCTAGCTATCACTGTGTCACGGGCATTGGGATCTTGTCCCATGAATCCGAGTAATTTTCTTGCCGGAGCGGAGGCTCATAAATTTGTAGCCTCCTTGTTTATTTTCCGCTCGTTCCCATACAAGATGGCCGCCTTTGTGCGTCTACCATGCTGTTACGGGGCGAGTCTTCTTCATGCACCTGGCAGTAGTCTCCGAACTGCAGGCTCAGGTGCTTTTTATAGTCCAGGACTCTCCCATCATTATCATAGGGGGCTCATTGTCTCGCTGACCCCCGCCTTACTTGGAAGTACGTCAACTGTTTGACGACTTGTAACAACCAAGTTGACGGTTAATTTTTTGGCATGCGCTAAACGGTAGGCTATGCCGGACGCTCGTGTCCTTTCCTTGACTACCCGGGATCTACGTTCGATCTCGGGTACGTGCTCGTTAGCACTGGCAACGTTCACTACCGGTCCACCCGGCATTGCCATGATTGTGTTGGACAGAGGCTCAAACTCTATTGTCCACATGAATGGTCGTGATT